TTCAATGAATGTACTCTTCAAACATATATACAAACTCATTATATCATCTCATAAACTTGTATTGGTCAATTTCTTCTCAATTTTCACCCCAAGAATACACATTTTCATCTTTTCAAAGTTTATGTTCTTAGATCTTCCCATTTTTGGTGTGGGAGATCATTATAACGGTTGGGGAAGTTTTTGAAGCTCTAAATCGAAGTTATAGGCCGTCAACGAAACATAAGATCACGGCAAGGTAAAATTCCGGTAGATCTGAGTGAATCTCATATTTTTGCAGGTCCTTAGACTTCATAGCGAAGTCTAACAAACTAGTTTTGCAATTGAGTTTTCAAAAAATTTAGAGAGTAGATGAAGTCTACCCATATTCCTTTGAAAACAAAAAAATATGGCGTAGGCTTCAGAATGAAGTCTACTCGAAAAGATTAGTTTTGCAATTGACAGAATAAAAACTTTTTATGGGAAATCTATCTGTGAAGTCTGCTTGAATAAAAGACTAGTTTTGCAAACTTTAAGTAGTTTGTTTTATCGTGAAGTCTACCCCTGAAGTCTATTAATGTTGTATTAGGCTTCATTCAAAGTCTAATACAATTGAAGTCTAATAAAGGGTTAGACTTCATTTCGAAGCCTAATTCTTGATAGACTTCACCAAGAAGTCTAATAGTCAACGTTTATCGGAGTAGACTTCACGATGAAGTCTATTTTCTAAATTCAAAAATTCGATCAATTGCAAAACTAATCCCTATGAAGTCTAATTCCTGTTGTAGACTTCACCGATAGACTTCATTCTAGTTAGACTTCATTTTTAAGCCTATTCACGATAATGAAGTCTATTTGAAAAAGTCAAAGCTTGGTCAATTGCAAAACTAGTCTTTTTTTTTCGGTAGACTTCACGTGTAGACTTCATAAAAAATTCGTCATTTGAAAAATTGCAAAACTAGTCTATTAGACTTCACAGGGAAGTAAGACTTCCTCGTGAAGTCTACTATTTAATGTTTTATTTGAAAACGCTTTTTTGGAAAATATATAACGAATTTTTAAGATTTTCTTGAACAATTAGTTGAGTTAGTCTGTTTAGTTGCTTGTGTGTTAGTTTGACATGCTTATTCGTTGTATATTTCGTGAAAACGGTTTTCTTGTCAAAATTGAATATTAGACAATACTAGGTAGACTTCTAGGTGAAGTCTACCACTGAAGTCTATACAATGAAGTCTAATGCGGTTGGTTTTTGTTTACTTGCAGAAAATGGTTTACATTGCATCTGTTTATGGAGAATGGGTGAGAAAGGACAATTTGTCTTGGCATTTTGAGGTTGATTATCGGAAAGGAGGTAGAATGTTCTCGTTGAGGGATGGTTGTACACATGATGAGCTTATTCAAATGGCTTTAGATGATTATTCGGTGATCAAGATCGGACACCGTTGGAATTATCATATCCATTACCAGAAGCGTTCACTCAGCAAATGTATTGATTCTCCGCCCATGTTTGTCACAAACGACAGACAAGTCGAAAGCTTGATCGAGCTAAGTAGAACTCATGTTCTACGACTTTGTGTCTCTAGCAAAGGGAACCTTTGGATGAAGACTGAAACAACCAACAATTTTTTTTTTATAATTAAATATTAAACAATTTTAGCGAAGGTCTTTAAAAATAAATTAAATAAAATAATCAAATTAATAACAATATTCAGCGGAAAAAAATAACAGAATTAAATAAATAATTATAACAACTTAAACAGGTTCAACAAAGTAAAGCAAAATAAATAAACCCTATTATCCCCTCTTCAGCCTTGATTCCGCGATCACACAAATCTTTTACATGCAACACATTGGAATGAAGTTGCGTAAGTATTTAATAAATACTTAGTGAGGCAATCACCCTGCCTACGGGTCAATTACGCAGTTTACTAGACATTTAAATAATTATTATAAACTCAAATAATTATTAAATTTCATTTTCCAATTATTATATTTTCATAATTAATATAATTATTTTAAACTATTTAATTAATTAAATACTCATTAAATAATTAATTCCGAATTCCACCAATAACCAGACCAAACCAGAACTCATATCAATTTAACCAATTAAATTAATTCGGATAAACCACAATTCAATTGCCAATCAGACCGGACCGAACCGGCTGCGTCGACCGACACACGCTTTGTGTCGTCGACACAGACCACCTTGTGTCGACCGACACAAGCTTTGTGTCGCTGGATACACGTTCGTCTGGCCGACAAAGATATCAACGAAACAGCACGGAATTCACAGTAAACAAGGAATTCATCACAAACTCAACCACCTAACACGAAATCATCACCAAATCGTATGAACACATCAAGAGCAACAACAAGCATATCCGAATCTAGTCAAACCGTGAATCCACAGTCATGCACTCACCTCTAGAAACGGATTGAACAAGGAAAGGAGATGGAAGGAGCGAAGAACAGCAAGGATTCGCCTCTGAATCGCTCAACAACACCACAAATCGCACCAAAATCGCCTCTCTTGTTCTCAACATATGCACATCCTATTTATCCCAAAGCGGGGATCTAACTCCCGCGTGAAGTCTGTTCCCTGCTTGCCTCTAGTGGAGAGTGTCCCTCGTGGCAGGAAGAAGAAGTTGAGGTGGCAATCCTAGCTATAGATGTCGAGGAAGAAAACCACTAGATCGAGGAAGAAAACCACAAGATCGGGGAAGACGCATAAGAAGTACAGCTGCTCTAAATGCAAAGAACCCGGTCATACTTGCCCCAATTGTGTAAGTTTATAAAATTGTCTCTTCATGCTTTGTATCCCCTTTGAGAGAAGCTGACAACTATCACTTTCTTCACTACACAGGTCGCTGAAGACTAATATCCGTTTATAAGTTTATGTGAAATCTAACTTTGAAGTCTAATAACGTGACAACTGTGTTATTTTCTAGTTTATTTGCTTGTTATGAAGTCTGTTCTTGAAGTCTATCTATGAAGTCTAATGTGGAGTCTGTTTTACCTTGTGAAATTTCTCAACTCGACTTGTCTACGTTTTTTTTTAAAGCGTTCAAAGAGTATTTGTGAAGTTTATTTTTAAAGTCTACCTATGAAGGCTAACAGTTTCTTGTCAATCTGTCTATTGTAGTTATATGAAATGGAGGAAAACTCCGCTTTTTAGTCTGAATTTGAACCTTTGAGGTCTAACTTTTTTTTTGTTCAAACATTTCTTTATTAGATTAAACCTTCAAACTACAACAAGAGGGAATATGATATCCTCTTTTAATTAAAGCAAATAAACATAAGCCACTAGAAGTTAAAACATAGAGATTCCTAACAAAGGAAGACAGCAGATCCAAAGCAATGTCGGATGCGTTGATGGCACAAACTTGGCAAAGCCGAAGTTCGTAAAACTAGGCACATCTTAAAGATGACTTTAAAAACCCATTTTCACCTCTGAGAATCGTCGAGACGAAAACGGTTACTTCTTTTGACTCCGTACACGGAGCTACATAGGAAAACAAAGCGGTGAAGAAATTGGATAAGTTACTGATGTGTTCATACTTTGCATGGTTTTTGGCACTCGATTGTATATGTTTCTGCATCCATAACCGTTCATTTGCATTCGTTTTCACTCATCTCCACTCATATTCCTCATTAAGTGCATTTAGGACTAGCATTGTTGCATCTTGTACATTTGTGTCAGTTTTAGGTGTTTCCTGGAGTGACGGAGCTGGAGTGACAGAGCACACGTTGTCGCGTTGACGCTATCAAACATTAAGTGATCGAATTGGGCGAGGTCGAGTGCTGTGATCGAGCTCGATGAGGTCACGCTGGACTGAAGTATGAACGCCGTAGCGCCGACGTCAAACCTGAGAGACGGAGTCAAAGTCAAGCGAGAGGGCCCACGTTCTGACGGGATCGATCCAGCCCATTAAGGGATCTGATCCAGTGCTTGTTTCGGCCAACTTTTCCCTCTTTATTTTTTTTTCCCGATTTTTCTAAAAACACTAGGTTTGTTTCGAGTATCAAAACCAGAGAGAGAGGTGCAGCCTCCATCATCCTATCTTATTTTCATCTTTCATTTTTACATTCGAACAGAGTTGTATTTTCAGATTTGTTTTTGAGTTCTAAGTACTTTTGCGTTTTCGATTCTATCTCTTTGTCGCTTTGATTATGCACTCTATCTCTTTTGATTCTGAAATGTATATGATGAGTTCTAGCGAGTAGTTTCGTTTAAGTTTCTGAGGATGGGATAGATCTGTAGCGAACCCTAGCGTGATCGAGTTGCTTAAGTATTGTTTGTCAAATCGATCCCTTCTGGATTAGTGAGCTTCATCCCAGATTCTTTATGATCAACTGGATCTGGATCTTAGACATCTCCACGCTCATGAGGCGTTCGATGAGATGTCTGAACCAGCTGATCCAGAGATTTACTTTTCTAGCCTAAGGGATTAGATGTCTAGAGAGTATTTTGACTCTATCGAATCCGAACTTAATGCTTGCTTGTGTTTTCTTCGCTAATGATGATTAGGTCTTGAGAATTCACTAGTTTGTTGATCTCTTTCGTGAAAGCGAATTGATCTTGTCTGTCGAGTTCGTTGTTGAGGGATTAGCCCGTGTTTGAGGTTTGTTAAGCGACGAGATCACGTTAGGAGTAGTTACAGTCGATTACCCCATCCTTAGGAGCTTGATCTTTCTCTGATATTCATTTCCGTCATTTTATTGCTTCAGCTTGATTGCATTCTTATTGCACTCGATCTCTTTTATTCATTGTCACCACCACCTGATAGATTTGGCTTGAATTGAGTAGTTCTGTCATATCCTGATTGCTAGCATCTCACCTGATTGGATTGATACCTAAAGTACTACTGCGATAGATACACTGCTTTAGGATAATTGATAGTAAAAACTTAGTATCAGTTACCTCGGAATGCACTCGAGGGAAGTAGCTCTAAACTTGATAGAGAGCACGATGGAGAAAAGATTCTCTCCTCAAAAGAGGAAGATGGAATAAGTGATCTCTCTCATAGAGAGGAAATTCTCTCTGTTAAGATAGAGGAAGGTTCATAAAAACACACGCCTAATGTATCCAACGACGGAGGTTGTGGACACTTTGTGGGCAAAGCTAAATAATTAAGAGCAATAGGCCGCCTTAGATGGTCGATGGAGATACGATTTGGGAAGCTGCGTGAGTAGTTGCCGGTGGACCAAGACTGGCCGTCAGAGTCGCCATACCGGAGCAGGTCGTGGCCGAGCAAAACAAAGCTGGCTATGGACCGAACATGGACTAAGTCCAAGATTATACAACGCCGGAACAAGATATGCAAATTGATGATAACGGGAATCCAAGATCCCGATGTCCCTTCGCCGGCGAGGAGTAGGACAGAAGGCTTCAAATGGCCAAAGCTTGGAGATGCGGTGGAAGAGTGAACAATGAAGATGAATGGAGATGTGCAAGAAGCAGACTTGAAGAGTTCACCGGAATGGAGCACCGGCGAAACTGTCATACTCTGAAAACGGGAGAGTAAATCTGATGATATCTCAGATCCACAAATGTCCGGCGGATCCGGTGGATCTGGAGGGTCTGGAAGAGTCACCGACGGAGATAGGTGAGAAGGTGGAGATGAGACCATCTTCGGATCTAGGAGGTCCGTCGGTAAAAGATCTTCATGGCGGCGATAACGCACGCACGAAATCATGGGTAAGTGAGAGATCATGTCAGCCTTGGGAGAATCACCTCACCGAGAGGAGCAGATCGATGAAAACAGAGAGATCTCGTCGAGAGAAGGAACCGACGGGGGAGAAGAATCCGGATTCCGGCCAGCCTCTGCGGCGACCAGGCGGAACAGCGGCTTCTGGGGAGCTAGACGCACGGACGTCCAGAGAAGAGGCAAGGTCGGAGACTCATCTGAAAGTTGAGTTGAGTCGTCGCTGCGGCTGCCTCGGTTAGCGTGCCTGGAACAAAATTAGGGCGAACCTGTTTTCCTTCTTTTCTCCTCTTCTTCTACTTATCCTTTGAGGTCTAACTAAGAAGTCTATTTCTTGAAGTCAACTTCTGAAATATACCAAGTGCAATAACAAAATAGAAAACAACAAGGAGAACCTGTAATATTGGTCGATCAACGAAAGATTACAAAAGATTACTTAGCCTAAACCTATCATCGGGTTAAAAAGAGCATAGTTTTGGGTTTACAAAAACACATCCTAGTGCTCCAGCAAGCATAAACATCCATACATTTCATCTACTCTCATCATATAAATAAAGTCCTTCCAGTCTTTTGGGTTCTCAATCGGTCCACGCAGTTGATCTCATGGTACATATCAGATGCAATCTGCTTCCTAAACGAGTTGGCGTTTTTCTGGCACAACGTTTTTGGAAATGTGGTATATCCAAGTGCTAGGCACTCCATGTACTTCAAGACAAACACGCCACAATCTCCATCAGTGTTTTAATGTGGCACACCCTTTCTCGGACGGTTATGCGTGTACTTCGTTGTGAAGTATATGCATTTGTCCTCTTCCAGAGCTGCGGCGTTCATAAGGTGCAGCATCATCACCGCATAGGGTTTCATAAGTAAGTCCATGTCCGCATCATTGACATAGGTAGGTAGACTGTCGTAGAAGAAAATGTGCCGAGACATATAGCGCGACCCAATGCTTCTGGTTGATACACAGGGGAATGTATAAATAATCGATATCATAAGCCCATCACTTCATTGTGGGCTGGTTTTTCGGGAGTTTACCATCAAAACAGTCCAACGAATTAGCATACAGAAGTTGACATCTCTGAAACTTGTGCCACTCCCTTTTCTAAAATTGGGTGATCCTACTATCAAGGAAGCAGATCCTATCATTCTTAAACCACTCTGGATGCATTGCTAGGCGTTGAGACATCATTCTGACCCAGGACCTCACATGCTACAAGAGAAACGAAAAAATTGATTATGAGGACTAAATATGAAGTCTATTTCAGAAGTCTAACTACAAAATCTAACTATGAAGTCTATTTACAATGTCTAAAAATCAGAACTTACAGTGTCCTCCAGCCATTCCTTCCCCGTGAGCAAAGTAAACTACCAATACCACTCTGGCTAAACTTCTTTGTTCGGCTTGTGAATTGGATAACCCCTAAAACATTGCTAATTCTGGTAAGCTCATTTACTTGGGTCAAACACCAAAGAGAATAAAGAGATTGAAGTCTCACGGTAATCCGGAGCAGTGTTCCCGCATTGGTTACTTCCTTTCCTCCAGAGGTGCATCAAATGGATTATACCCTAGAGGTCCTTTCCCACCGGTTGCTTTCCCACCAAGTGCTTTCTTTGGTTCAGGTGCTTTCTTCGGTTTAAGGATGATCTTAGGTGAATTCGGCTTAGGGATGGTATTAGTTGGTGAATTCGGGTTGGGTTCCTCTGGGGGGTTGTTTAGGATGATCCTTCTAGCGGTGCTGTTTTCTTCGTAATCACCTAGCTGTGTAGACGCCAGCTTCCTGACTCTCTCACTTTTTCCTCGTGTTATAATATTCTCCGCCATGATCACATCTTCCTGTTTCCTCTTCTCCAAGGCATCCTCAGAGGCAGTTGGCACATAGTGCCAAACAAAAGCGCATTCCGCATTCCGCATCCTTGTTTACACTCCTGTAATCTTCATTGCCCTCCTCACCATTGTTCTTATCAATGGTTGAACATAATAGAGACAAAATATATAATGAGTGTGGAGAAATGTTTACTTTTATTTAAAATGTTTCATTGCTAGGGAAAGTGTACAACGCAACACACTTGAAATAGAAACATACATGAGTAAAACAGAAATGTTTCATTTGTTCTTATTCAAATCCAACCTACGACTCCTACACACATATTTTTCATCACATTTATCACCATTTTTAGAACTATGTGGAGAATGAACGATACTAACCGGAGCACCAGGTTGATCCGTCTTCCCTTCGGCATCATTGGACTTGACTTGCTCCTCACTGGACTTGACATGCTCCTCACTGGACTTCACAGGCTCCTCATTGGACTTCACATAATCCTGAGCCATAGGATGCAAAATTTTCTTGACAGTACTCCCTACCACAGCCACTTGAGCAGTGGCGAGTTGAATCTTATCCTCGCATTTATGAAACCCAATCTTCATCTCTTCAAAGTGTTTTTTTGGTGAAGTCTTTAAACAGCTCATCAATATTCGCCTCAATACCTTTCCAGCCATCAGCAGAGGCCTTCGCAGAAGAACCACCAAACGTCCGAGACCTTTTGGCACTTATCGCTTCATCATCATCAGTTTAATCAGAGAGATTCTTCTTGCCATGAGACTTCTCTGATTTCAATGGCTTCTCGAACTTCACCTTTTTAACCACGAGTATTCCTTCTCTAACCCAGTCAGCTGGTTTCCATTTCCATCCTCCACCAAATTCTCCAAACAAGGCCTTGATGATGTTGTCCACCTTCTTGTCATCTACATCCTTGTCCCAATGTGGGTACACGTCTGGCCTGTCCACCATTACCATGTGATTGAACAGCACCTGCAAAACAGTTATCAGATAATTTAAGAGTTTGTTTCGGCTATGAGTAATATGCGGAGAGTATAAGCCAAATGGATTACCTGCTTCTTCATGGTTCCGATAACCTGCTTCTTCTTCCCTCGGATTCTATTGAATGCTATCAGCGGTGGCTCAAGATTATTAGGCTTGGGAGCACCGTTTTTTTCTCCGAATTTTGGCATAGCATGGTACGCCCATACTTGAAGGACTTCAACAAAGCCGTCGAGGGAGAATGGCTTGGACACATCTGCATCCTTTATAGACTTGATGAGGGTCTTGAAAGTTACTCGGCCCCAGGGTTAGTTTTCAAACGTCCCCAAGTCCATAATTTGACTAGCCAGTGCTACTCGTGAAGCCAGCATATATTGCCAAATAACCAAGCCTCAGCCTATCCTCTCTGCTCCACTCTCCAGCCCACTTGCACGCTGCTAAGAGATTGTTAATGCTCGGTCCAAGCTTCTCATTTACACCAAGCTTCCCCCAGAAATCTTTCATCTCGTCTGTGTCAACAGTCGTTGGCTTCGTTGGCGCTTCTTTATACTCACAATTGAGCCCGGTGATGTGTTCAAACTCGTTCAAAGAAAAATGCAGAGGCTGTACACCCACGACATTCCATATCTCATACTTCTTCTTGCATGCCACTTGCATAGTGAGCATACTCCGTACCACATTCGATGCCCAATTAAACTTGAGCTTCGTGAACCTGTAGAGGACACCCATATGGGAATTCTCAAGCTCATCCCATTCCTCTTGAAGTATGGTGTGCAATGTCAACCACAGCTCAGTGTTCTTGTTGTAGTAGACAACACTGCGGTCATAACCCGGTTCCTCTCCTTCTGTGTAAACCTCCTAGGAAATGTCACGGCTTCCACACTGGAAACACAGTTAAAAGATGAGAAATTAGAAGTCTACAAATGAACATGGGACAAATAAAGCCTACCTATGAAGTCTAACTATGAAATCTAACTATGAAGTCTAAATATAAAGTCTAACAAATCTAGCGATGAAGTCTGTATTTGAAGTCTACCTATCTACCCACTCTACTCTCGCCAACCGCCACCAAAGAGCGGCTAACTAAACCCTAACAATAGACTTTTACCTTATTCTTAACGGTTATGAGGGCCATCAACGGCGGCGGATACTACCAAGAAACGCAAATCTGCCCGAGATAATATATCCGGCAACGGACACCTGCGACAGATCTACAATCGTTTAGTCTACGGTTTGAAGGGGGTAAACAGAGAGAAAAAAAGTGAAAGGGAGATAACTAACCAGCAGTGACAGGAAGAGAATAAGTCTTGCGATTGAATAGGTCGTATGATTCCACAACATCAACACGGACAGCGGCAACCAACGGTTTCAGAAAGGTTCAAAAGAAGATTCCACTATGAGTATAACGAGAGTAGAGGGAAACAGACACGTATCAGGACTGATATATGAATAGGACTTACAGAAGTATACTTCAGAGGAGGAAGGGGAAACGCCGGCGGCAACAATGGTGGATCTGTCTGTCTTCGACGGCGACGGTGGGCGGAGAAAAATGCAATCGCCTATCCGACAAAGAGAGAGAATGGAATAGAGTTGGTTTTGTGAAAGTGAAATGTGAAAGTGAAACCCTAATTTTGGGTTTCTCACTTACTGTACTGGTTACAACTTCCGATTATGGCCGGTTTACTTTGGTTAAACCCAATTAGCACAAACATTTGAATTTCCTCGACTGGTTCTGTTCAAAAAACCGGACTTCAACTAAAGTCTACGTACAAAATCTACTCGGGAAGTCTAATAAAACAGTAAAATTGAACTTTTAATGAGAAATTTATTCGCCCAAAATCTTTCGTTTCCCTCCCAAAAAATTTCGTTTCCCACTCGCTTTTTTTGAATAACAGACTTCATAGTAAAGTCTAACAATGAAGTCTACCGTTGAAGTCTAACTTACCCTATACCCTAAATCGAATTTTTGAGATCAAAGCTATAGAAAACATCAATTATTTATACATAATCACCATTTACATTATAAACTATGAAATCATTAGCTTTAAATCGTTAAACAAACCGCAAACAATTTTTTATATCAAAATTCTCTAAACCCTAACAATGACAATCGTAAACCCTATACATTATACCTCAAACACTAAGCTTGATGATTGGTTTACTCATGAAACTTATAAATTGATTCATTTCCATGAAATTTTATTTTACATAGATAGGATTTGTCTTCATTTAGATTATTTATAAATTTTGAAGCCTAAATTTTTTTATTGTTTTTTTATAGATTTTAAACTTTAAATTTAACATTTTGTTATTTAGTAGACTTTTTCAGTAGACTTCACACAATTTTTTTTGGATTATACCATAATTTTTATTACCAGATTTGAATTGATCAATTTATATGCAAATTTAATTTTCAAGGATAGTAAATTATGTGTAAATACCTTGCACAAAATATTTTTATTAGATTTTAAACTTATTTTTATGCAATTTTATTTTTCTTGGATGCCAAATGTTTTAATCTTATTTATGTATAATTTTGTTTGATCATATTAATTTCCTATAATTTTATAATTTAAATTTGAGTTGTGATTAGGAAGTAGACTTCACACAGTAGACTTCATGAATAGACTTTAAATGGGGTAAAACAAACATTGTGGCTTACGTTTTTTCTTTGTTCATAAGGGCGTGGGTTGTAATTTTACATGCCCTGAATACTAGTTTTGCTCTAAATGCAATATAGGGTCTAGTTTTGCATTTCAAATCAAACTGTGTACTATAATTGACAATTCCCCCACATTAATATTACTATTTTAAATGAAGTAAATGTAGTTTAATTTAGAATACACTTACGAGTTTACGAGAAATTTTAAGAAATACACATTTTGGGGTGTTAATTTTCAAAACTACACGCCTAGTGTGACAATTTACAAAACTACATTTTTCTAATTTTAATATATAAGTTTGGGTTCACTAATCCTTGACTAGGGTTTAGATTTTGGGGTTTAGGGTTTAAAGTTAAGGGTTGAAGGTTAGCTTTTAGGGTTTAGAGTTTTTGTTTTAAGGTTTAAAGTTATTTTACTCAATGAAAAAATGAACACCTTAAAAGTGTAGTTTAAAAATTGACACACAAAAAGTTTACTTTTGAAATTTCCCCTATTAGTTTTAAATGAAGTAAATGTAATTTAATTTAAAACACCCTTGCAAGTTTACAACAACATAAGTAGTTAAAAAAATTAAATTTTTTATAAGTTATACTTATTCATTAAGTTAAAAAAAAGTTAATGTTATCAGAAAATACTATTTCATAATGAATTTTTGTTTATTTATCAAAAAAGGAATAATCAAAAATATTTTTGGTAATATATATAAAGTATATAAACAGATGATGTAAATGTAAATTTTCAATATTTTGCTACGTCATATCTCATTTTAAAAATGTAAAATATTGTAAAATATTTGTAACAAACTAAGAATTCACAATATTTTACATTTTTAAAATGAGATATGACGTAGCAAAATATTGAAAATTTACATTTACATAATCTGTTTATATATATTTAGTTTTGTAACTTACAAAACTAAATAGTCTGAAAATGAGTGAGCCATATATATACAAACAATATTTTGAGAAAGAAACCCTTTCTAATAGGTTATTTTACGATAATGGTAACATTCAGTATATTAAATAACATTAACAATCTTTTTCATGTTAAAACAACTCGTTCACTACATGAAAATTGTGAAATAAACTGAATATATGTAACATTTTTTGTTTGTTTTGTTACTTGAATCTAAAAATACCCCTGTAAACTCTTCTGACTAAGGAAACGCTTCGTACTAGAATTCGGAATGTGTCAAGTTAAACCACACGGGGACGAGGTGGTTGTTGGGTTATTACACTATCTTTTAAAAACCTTATTAATAAAAAAAAGACTTACATATGGGTAATGACGTAAATGTAGACTAAAAATTATATGTAAAATGGTGCATAATGATGTGTGTGTGTGTGTGTGTGTGTCATCTGTGTGTGGATAGAGTAAGATTAAAAATGAATAAAGAAGTGAATTAAAAGAGAAGAAGGTCAAAAAAGGGTAGCTACAGTTGAGTTATGCCTATCAGTGTTTGGTTTCAATGCCTTGGCTTGGCGGTACGGTTGGTGAAGGATTTGTTGTACTCTTTTTTTTCGCTCTGCATCCTTCTCACGTGTACTGCACGCACTGCTTCTGTTGTTAAGGAAAATCTAAATGATAATATTTTTTTTTCTCAACAATTGCAAAAACAGTTTAAAGCTGGATTTTGTCAAGAAAGTATTTTATAAAAAATGTGAGCACACCAGAATTATGGTTAACAATTTTGGATACGGTTTAGTTTGCTGTACTTCCGCTAGAAGAAAATGTTTAAAGAGAAAGAAAAAAACTACATAACAATCCAAACAAAAATTATAATTTCAGTTTGCTCTGTAATTGTGAATTTAGATTATAAGAAACAAACTAATAGTAAGAGCATGTGCAATGGAGGATGCTTATAGATGTGCTTAAATTTTTTATTATTAAAAGTGTGTTAGCACTTGCTGGGCTTATGTCCAACTCCCCCACTAGTATGATATTGTCCGCTTTAGGCTCAAGTGGCATAGCCCACATGAATTTCTCTTTAGGCTCCTCTCAAAAGGCCTCTTACTAATTAGAGTTAGACACTGCTTATATATTAGACACTTTTTGTCTAAACTTCTGATGTGGGACTTGATTGATATCTCAACAATCCTCCCCTCAAGCCAAGGACCACATAATCCCGTAGCCTTCCACCTTCAGCGATACCTAGCACCCTTCTTGTACACCTAGCACCCTTCTTGTACCGCCGTACATACAATCTAACGGAAATCCTCACCTAACCCTTGGCTTTGTTAGGAGGACTTTCGGCACAAGGCCTGGCACCCCTAATCGCAAGATCACCTTTGAGGGCTCCTCCCACCACGGAACATGCAGTAGCCCACACCCACTTGTTCCCTAGGTTTATCTTTTCGACACCTAACTCTGATACCATTTATTCGGCTTCATAAGCCCAGTCCAACTCCCCCACTAATATGATATTGTCGGCTTTGGGCCCAAGTGGCAAAACCCGCACGGGTTTCTCTTTGGACTCCTTCCCAAAAGGCCTCATACTAGTTGTAGTTGGACACTGCTTATATATTAGACACTTCGTGCTAAACTTCCGATGTGGGACTTGATTGATATCTCAACAATCCTCCCCTCCAGCCAATGACCACATAATCTTGTGGCCTTCCACCTTCAGCGATACCTAGCACCCTTCTTGTACCGCCATACAATCCAACATAACTCTTCAACTAACCCTGGCCTTGTTAGGAAGACTTTCGGCACAAGAACCGGCACCCTTATTCGCAAGGTTACCTTTGAGGGCTCCTCTCACAACGGAACATGTAGAGCAGCCCACACCCACTTGTCCCTAAGTCCATCTTTTCGACATCTAGGCTTTGATACCATTTGTTGGGTTTCATAAGCCCAGTCCAACTCCCCACTAGTATGATATTGTCCGCTTTGGGCCCAAGTGGCAAAGCCCGCACGGATTTCACATCGGAAGTTTAGACAAGAAGTGTTCCCTGACGGAACAATCTCACCCGCACCAGGCAGCGGAGGCTTCGGCCTGGGCACTGGCTTAGGAACGACATGATGCATTGGGTCCGAATTGAACGGCCCAGGTGTATACAATTTGCGCGGGTGACAGATGTTAGGTGGATGGATCTTGGAAAGAAACGGACCCATGGGCAAGATTAGGATGGTAGAATTTTAATATGGAGATAGGTGAGAAGCTTTTGGGCACATGTAATCTGTGGCTGGGAGTATCTCCTCTTCAAACAGAAGTGGAGGCTCTGCTATGAGCAATGCAATGTATGCTACGGCAGCATGAGGAATGCATATGTTTGTACCTTCATGTCTTATGGAATACCTTATTCAAACAAGAAACAAGCAAAAGACTTATTCTGTGTTGATAGAGGGGTCGATAGAAAAAATAAAATGATACCCTAGAAAAGTAGGGAGAAATCGACCCTTCAAAGATCTAGATGTGAGAAAAAGAGAGGAAAAGAACTCATTGTACTTCAAAGACAATCTTAGAGGGGATCAAGTGGGTAAGAACAAGCTCTTAATGATTGATATTCCGTTGATAAAGAACTCACGTTTTAGTTTTATGCAAGAGGTTAGCAATAGAGAGTTTGGATTGCTAGATGAGATTAGTTGAGTTGGTACTGTTCGTTAAACCTGCAGGGTGTATGTGAAGCCAATGGCGGAGCCAAAAAAAATATTTACATGGGTCATAATATTTTTAAATCTAAAAAAACTGCATAAACTTTATTAATAATAAAAAAAAAAAAAACATAATTGTTCTTAAACATCAAAGATGTACTCTACGCTCATGCATATATTGAAATCGTTTAATCACAACTTCATTTTTCACTGTCTCAAGCACCTGTTTTTCAATGAAACAAACTAGACAATCGCTTAAAAAAGCATCACCAATACTATTACGCGAAGCCGTCTTCACAATATTCATTGAAGAAAAGCACCTCTCGACAGTTGCGGTCGCAACAGAAAGAATCAAACAGAGCTTCAAAAGTCGATAAACCAAAGGATGAGAAAAATGCTTCCTTGTCTCAACCATTACACGAGCAAGATCACCAAGACTTTCTAACTTAGAAAACCTTTCATCTCTTTGCACATTATCAAGATAGATATCAAGTTGATGATCAAGAGATCTTAGCTCCAACAAACTAAAATCATCTGGATAAAACTCAGCCAATCTAACCAGCTTTGATTTATCAAACTGGTGAAATGAATCTATCGGACTTAATGATGCCATAGAAACAAGTAGTTCAGAGTTTACCTCGTCAAAACGGACGTTAAACTCTAGAAGCTGCATATCCAAGACACTGTAAAAACAATCTATCTTGTAGTGATGCAAATTGGTTTTTCCGCTTTTCTTCCTTGGCCTTATTGAATCAACAAATTCCTCCTCCATAGTGAGCACTTCTGTATTATTTTTCTCACCAAAAGAACAAACTTGAGCCACAAAATCATCACATCCATCATTTCTAAGCTTATTCAACTGCCGCTTAGTAGATTCCACTAGTGAAATAGCATTCAAGATCTCTTGATCGTTCTTCTGCAGAGCCTTTGATAAGCTATTAGTGAGTCCCAGAACAGCAAGCATCAGTTGTAGATAAAAAACAAAATCAAAGGTGTGAAAGTATTTGAGAAGGCCATATGCTTGCTGTCTTTTGGTGCTATTTGTGCCTTCAATCTGAATGGCTCAAGAACTTCTATAATACATGGAAACATCTCGGCAAGACGTAGTAAAGTCTTATAATGCGAACCCCATCGAGTATATCCAGGTCTTGTAAGTGAAAGGTCTTGATTCAGCCCAGTTCCTGTCTTGATTTCACCACTATCAATCCCTTTTTCTATTCTCTTGCGATTATTTTCAAGGAGCACCTTTTTTCTCTTGCAAGAAGCTCCAACCACATTCAACAAAACATGAACCATCTCAAAAAATTATCCAATTTCACAATGTTTCTTTGCAACAGCCACAACAACCAGCTGAAGTTGATGAGCAAAGCAATGAACATAATATGCTGATCCATTTTCCTTCAAAATCAATGCTTTCAACCCATTGAATTCTCCACTCATATTGCTAGCTCCATCATAACCTTGTCCTCTCACCTTTTTCAAACTCAATCCATGTTTTGCAAACAAGAATCAATGGCATGCTTTAGAGTTAAAGAAGATGTGTCTTTCACATGACTAATCCCAAAAAATATTTCCTTTACCAACCCCAATTTATCAACAAAGCGCAAAACCACAGCCATTTGCGCTTTATCTGAAACATCAGCAGATTCATCTACCAACAAACCAAAGAAATCATTATCCATTTCATGGATAAGAGATCTAGTTACTTCTTCTGCAAAACAATGAGCGATGTCTTTCTGAATTGGAGGAGATGGCATTTGATTATTTTTAGGAGCATTGTTCAACACAACCTTGCTTACACCCTCATTCTGTCTAGCTGTATATTTCAGAAGCTCTATGAAGTTACCTTTGTTTGTTGAGTCTTCTTTCTTATAATGAGCACGAAAAGACAAGCCTTGGTGTAACAAGTGTCTACAAACATCAATCGAAGCACTCAAACGGATCCGATACTCATTTTTCACAACATCAGTTTGCTTATTTAAAGCATGTTTGATAGACTGACCTTGTCTCATCAAATCATCACCTTTACTCTTGGCATTGCTGTGAAAGCTTGTATGATCACCCATGTGTTTGTCAAAGCTATCAGCCTTATTCCAGCTAGAAAAACCTGTCGATACAAAAGCATCACATCCACTTTGTTTTCCAACTTGAACTCTGAACAAGTAACAATACAAGCAAAAAGATTTTTTCTTCTTCCTCACTATACTCTAACCAATCACGATACTGATCAAACCACTGCGGATTGAAGCGTCGCGGTACGTTTCCTATTAGCCTTTGTTTGAAAGGGTGATCATGAGGTTGATGAGGACCTCTATTCAAGTATTTACGTCGTACCTCGTCTCTTTCATTAGGATGATAATCTTGAATGTTTTTTCGCTTTGCTGGATCATATGGTAAATCATCTAAGTTGATAGTAGAGGGTGGAGGTGGAGCTGGAGAATCTGATTCTGACCGTGCTTTTTTGTAATATCGTTCCATTATCTACACAAAGAATTTAACAAAAATATGTATGAGAATAAGAGATTTCTAACAATTAGGGAAAAAAAGAAAAGAATATCATAGAAGAATGCAAATTATATAAGTTTTACCTTGTCAATAACCTTATTTTGGCTTGATTTTGAAAACCCTAAATCTCTGTAATTTTGGTGAATGTCGTGTTTTGGAGAAGACAAAGAATTACCTTTTCTGTTTTTCACTTTTTCTGGCTTCTTCTTATTTAAAAATGATGTGAGATAGTTATTGGGCTAAAATCTCAAAAATTAATATATTTATTGGACTATGATTAAACTAAAAATCTAGATGGGTCAATAATTTCAGTACAGATCTCAGATTCGGGGAATGGTTCTTAATTTCGGCTCTAGCTCGGTATATTGAAGTTATTAACGGAGGTTACTATGGATCTATCGGAGCGGCGTTGATGATCTCGGTGAGATCTAGCGATCTGGGTTTGCATGTCGGTTCTGATTTAAACCCTAGGGGCGACAGCGATGGCGTTTTATCGGATCGGGATACAAATTTTGGTGACGATCTCCGTATCGGTTTATGGGTGCTATTCTCGGTTTTGTTACGGTGGTTTGAAGAGAAGATTGTTGAAGCCTACGGATCTAGTGGGAAGGAGAGTACGAGATTCATGAGATCTCATAGCCTCGGAGCAATCGGAAATTGGGATTCGAAAGGTGTGATTAAGGAAAGGAGACAACTCCGATCTAATAAGGGACAAAAGGGAAAGTGGGAGACTGAATCGAATCTCTACGAATATTTCACGGGCCTACGATCGGAGTCCCGGTGGAGGTATTTCGTGGAGGAGACTAAGGAAGGTTTTGGGCAACAAGGAATCATCAAGGATGGCAAGTGGGAAACCAAATCGAATCCCTGCGAATTTTTCACGGGTATACGATCGGAATCCCGGTGGTGGTTAATTGCGGAGGAGAATATGGAAGGATGGGGGCAAAAAGGAAGTAGGGATATTGCGATGGAGTCTCATACATGGAAGTTTCATGATTGCATATGGGTAAATTATTCTCTCGCTGATTTTTGGAATTTTAGTTTCAAAATTTGCGGAGATTCTTCGGATATCATCATAATTATGAATGGTGATTCAGTGAGATTTGAAGGAATCGTAGTAATTGAGTTGAGGCAGTATAAAAAGACAGTCACAATCCGGCTTATTCAATATTGTCTCTTTTCTGTTCTTCTGAGAATTTTCTTTCTGAGTCTTATTCTGAGAGTTCTTATTCTTGTTTTTCCGGTTGTGTTAATCATAAGCTTTTGCATCGGTGTTGTTGTGCAAGGTCTAGCGATGACTCAGGGAAAACTCGTTGGTAATGGTGCTTCAAACCAAGGTGACAAGAAGCCGGTGAATCGTTTGAAGATCACGGTGCCTCGTTTCGATAATACGGCTCTTATCAGAGGTTACTCACGAACCCTGATCGGAAGGTGTATGAATCCGGCGGCTCAGGATGTGAATGCGCTTTTGCACCACATGCCTCGGTTCTGGAAGATGGAGGAATGGGTGGCAGGAGCGGACTTGGGAATGGGGAGGTTCCAGTTTGACTTTGATAATGAGGAAGATATCGTGGAGGTCTTCAAGCTCGAGCCTTTTCATTTTGACTACTGGATGATATCATTGGTGCGATGGGAGCCAGTGGTGGATCCAACTTATCCTTCGGCAATTAGGCAATTAAGTTTTGGGTTCGGATGATGGGGATCCCATTACATTTTTGGGCGGAACCAACATTCAGAAGCATCGGAGAAGCCATTGGTGAAGTAATAGAGGTGGATATCGATGGAGGTCGGGTCCATGTGTGCCTTGACGGGTATAAGCCTCTGGTCTTTGAGACAACTGTGGAGTTTTATGGTGGGGAAGAGACGGTGGTTACGCTTCGCTACGAACGGCTCTTTGGCGTTTGTCGGGAGTGCTCTAGCCTCTGCACGATGTTCTCCAGTGTCCAGTGCTTCGGAGAGCTCGAGAGGAACGGGAAAATCAAAAGCGACGGGATGAGAAACCGGACGGCGGTGCTATGAGTTACAAAGGTGTCGTTCTTAACGGGCCCGGAGGAGAGAACGGTGCAGTGAGACAATCTCACCATAATGCTGCCGGAGATCTGAAAGGCAAAGGCAAGGCTGTGGAGCAGCAGGAAGATAGAGGAAAATGGCAGGCGGGATTTCGTGGAAATGGAAAGCACGGAGGCGAGACTTCTGGAGACCAGCGAAAGCCTGCGGGATTTGGTTCCCATGATAACAGGAAGAGAATTAACCGGCCGATGACAATTTTCAGGCCTTAGGCGGAACAGACGATGGCCAATACGACGAAGGGGGCTCAGGGTAATGGAACGGAGAATGGTGGAGGTGGTGTCACCAGTCCGACACAACACTCAACAAAGAAGGTGCGGAAGGCCATTGATTTCACGGCTGCGGTGGAAGGAATGGATGATTCCGGTAATAGAGTGGTGGTGGCGGAGGGAGAGAAGGTTGGGAAGAATGAAGTCCCGGAGGGTTCGGTGAATGTACTTGATCCGGATTTGGGGGTTAATGAGAACATGATACAAGATGAGGGCGAGGATGGTGAGATATGGTGGGATGATGTGATAGAGGAGGGTGTAGCAGAGGCAATAATAGAGGAGGAAGAGGCTGAGAAAATGATAGCGGAAGAGGCTGAGAAGATGATAGAGGAGCTTCCAGAGGCGATGGAGTCCCAAGGTGAGAGCCAAATGCAGACTGATGGTGCCAATGAGGTGGAGAGACCTCTTGGGGCGGAACAATTTGTGGAGGTGGAGGCAAAGGAAGTGGGACGTGGAAAACACGTTGCTGCAAGGAAGACTGGAGCTAAAAAGAAACCGGTCCGATCAACTGTAAGTGTTGATGGAGGAACTTTAAAGCGATTTGTGCAGGGCGCAAAAACACCTCGGAAGAAACAGGGGGTCAGAGCTGGTTCTCGCATCGGAGATAAGCCCACAGGAAATGGCACGGAAGGAGACCCAGCGGAAGGGTCGGAGGTGACTTCTCAAGCAACTTAATGCGGATACTCAGTTGGAATTGCCAAGGTCTTGGCAATCAGGTTACAATAAGCTATCTTCGGGAAGTCTGGTGGAAGTTCCGACCAGAATTTTTTTCTTTCTGAAACTAAGCAAGATTTTAATTTTTGCAACAATTTCAATTTCACTTTGGTTTTGATAATTTGTATACGGTTGACCCATGTGGCACTAGTGGCGGTCTAGCCTTATTTTATAATAATAATTTTAATGTTTCAATTATTACTTCTTCCAAGAATTTAATTGATACACAAGTCACTATTGAAGGAAAAACTATGTTTATGTCTTTTGTTTATGGAAATCCAGTCCCAAAACAAAGAGACTATTTATGGGAAAAGTTAACTAGAATCGGTATTTCACGGGATGATCCTTGGTTTTTGATTGGTGACTTTAACGAAATTACGGGAAATCACGAAAACAGGGAGGTGCAATCAGTATGCTTCAACATTTATGTCTTTTAATCTGATGATAGATGACTGCGGCTAGTAGATTTTCCAACTCATGGCAACAAATTATCATGGCGGGGAAAGAGATGGGGAAAAATTGTACGGTGCCGTTTAGATAGGGCTTTGGCCACAGAGGATTGGCATGACCTCTTTCCAAGTCACATGTGGAATATCTAAAAATGGTAGGATCGGATCACCGACCGATCCTGGCAACCATAGATAATAAGATCCCTAAAGCGCGGCGGCAATTCCGATTTGATAAACGATGGATTGGACAAGATGGATTTTCGGAGGCAATTAAACGAGGTTGGTTGGAGAATCAAACAAATGCGGAATCAAATGTAGTGGATATGATCCGTAAATGCCGTCATGAAATTTCCGATGGCGGCACGAAAATAAACCATATGGAAAGGAAAAAATAGCGGAACTACAGAAAGCTCTTGAAGAAATTCAAAATGATGATCTTCGAACCCAGGAAGATCTGGATGAAATACACAAAAATTGAAGGAAGCTTACCGAGATGAGGAACAATACTGGAAGCAAAAAAGCCGTAATCTCTGGCTTAAGGATGGGGATTTAAATACAAAATTTTATCATGCAACCACGAAACAGAGAAGAGCGATAAACAGGATGGTCGGTTTACATGATAAGACGGATAACTGGGTTACCGGGGAAAAAGAGATGGAAAAGGTGGCGGTTGATTATTTCTCGGATTTATTTACGACTACTTCCCCAGATGATTTCACGGACATACTTGAAGGTATTCCAGCGGTGATCACGGAAACCGATAATGCACTGCTAATGCGCCCAGCGTCGGAAGAGGAAGTGCGGGCGGCTCTGTTTCTGATGAACCCGGAGAAAGCTCCGGACCGGACGGGATGACGGCCTTATTTTTTCAAAAATCATGGCCGTTAATAAAAACGGATATTTTGGGGCTTATTAATGATTTCTTGATAACGGGAGCCTTTGATGACAGATTAAATTTGACGAACATCTGCTTAATCCCAAAGACAGAGCGACCTACCCGGATGACGGAACTGCGCCCAATTAGTCTATGTAATGTGGGCTATAAAATTATTCTAAAGTATTATGTGAGAGGTTGAAAACGGTACTATCCCAGCTAATTTCGGAGACCCAGTCAGCTTTTGTCCCAGGGAGACTGATCTCGGACAATATTCTGATAGCACAAGAAATGTTTCATGGCCTAAGGACAAACAGTCTTGTAAGGGAAAGTATATGGCGGTAAAAACTGATATGAGCAAAGCGTATGATCGAGTTGAGTGGCAATTTGTTGAAGCCACAATGCGGAAGATGGGATTCGGAGAACGATGGATCGGGTGGATCATGAAATGCATAAAGTCGGTTGTGTATAAAGTACTCATCAACGGGCAACCACGGGGAAAAATAACTCCGAATAGGGGCTACGTCAGGGAGATCCTTTATCTCCCTACATTTATTCTCTGTACAGAAGTTTTGATATCAAATCTTAAACGGGCAGAATCTGTTAAATCTCTAACGGGTCTGAAGGTGGCTCGTGCAAGCCCACCAGTATCACATTTACTATTTGCGGATGATAGTTTATTTTTTTGCAAGGCGACGGTTGAGGAGAGTGCAGTTTTACTACAAATTCTTCAGAACTACGAACGGGCATCAGGCCAAAAAATAAATTTTGATAAATCATCTATCCAATTTGGCCATACGGTGGAGACAACGGTACGTGCGGAGATTCATCAGATGTTAGGTATACATAAGGTCGGGGGAGTTGGTAACTATTTAGGTGTCCCAGAGAGTTGGGGGGTGCCAAAACAAAGATTTTTAGTTTCTTGATCGGCAACAGCAGAAGCGGATAAACGGCTGGACATCAAGGTTCTATCTAAAGGGGGAAAAGAAGTAATGGTAAAGTCTGTACTTTCGGCGATGCCGACACATGTCATGTCATGTTTTAGATTACCAAAGGGAGTAACAAATAAACTAACAAGTGCGGTAGCAAATTTTTGGTGGAGTACAAATTCCCAAACACGGGGTATGCATTGGCTCGCGTGGCGGAAGCTGTGTCGACATAAAACTGACGGGGGACTGGGATTTAGGGTAATAGAAGATTTTAACACAGCGCTACTCGCAAAACAGTTATGGCGCCTAATGGATAACCCGGAATTCCCTGTTTGCTAAAGTTTTCAAGGGGAGATATTTTCGGAACTCAACCCCCTTGGACCCAATTCGCTCTTACTCTCCATCTTATGGATGGCAGAGTATCGTTTCAGCTCGACCTCTGGTATGCAAAGGACTTATTAAAAGAGTTGGTTCAGGTTCATCTATATCTGTATGGTATGACCCCTGGATTTCCGATTCTTGCCCGAGGCCAGCTATCTGTAAAGGAATTAATTACTACCCACACCTCACGGTGAATCAGTTAATTAATTCCCAGACCTCAACGTGGAATCGACCACTATTGCAACAATTTTTTGAGAGTGAGGAAATCACTCGCATTACGGGTATACCAGTGGCTACTGGATATAAACCCGATACCTGGGGCTGGTTTTATACAACAACGGGTCGGTATACGGTTAAATCGGGATATACTGTGCTACAGGAGCTTTCTCAGATGAGGGGACACTACCAGTTTGGACCGGACACTCGGAGATTGCAAGCGCAATCCTGGAAGGTTAAATGCACCACAAAACTCCAACATTTTCTCTGGCAAATTATTACCGGATGTTTATCGGTTGGCGCACGTTTATGTAGTCGGGGAATGCGTGTGGACCCACTGTGCGTGAGATGTGGTATGGGAGATGAGACATAAATCATATGCTCTTTGAGTGCCCTCCGGCCCGACAGGCCTGGGCACTCCTCCCATACCTACGCCTCCCAGTTTTTTCCTACGGGAGCACTGTATTCAAATATGGCACATCTATTCTGGAATCTCCCAGACAATGATGATATGTTGATGTATCCATGGTTACTCTGGTTCATTTGGAAAGCTCGTAATTACAAAGTTTTCTCAAATGATGATCAAATCCGCAGGAGTAATGGAATCTGCGATAACGGAAGCCGGGCATGGGCAGCAGCCCAAACGGTAGCAGAGGATACCACTAATATCTCCATCACTCCGGCCACGTCCCATTGGGAGAGTGGTGTCAGATTGATGGAGCATGGAAAGAGACAGACAGTCGGGCTGGACTTGGATGGTACAATTTTGACCCGGATTCGGGCTCTTTGATCGGGTCTAGCAACCTACGGCGGGGTTTATCTCCTCTTCAGACAGAATTGGAGGCACTGGTTTGGGCTATGCAAAGTATGCTAGTCCATAATAAACGACGGATGAATTTCCAAACAGATAGCGCTCAGTTGGTGAAGATGGTGTCCAAACCTGCAGAGTGGCCAGCTTTTGCGATCTTGCTTGAAGAAGTGGAGCATTGCAGAGGGATGTTCCAGGCGTTCTCCCTCACATACATTCCCAGAACGAAGAACACAAAGGCAGACAAGCTAGCACGGAGTGCTCGAGCTCAGCCCCACGATGTGTACTACATAAACTCAGTTCCCCGGTTCCGCTTCCCGGACCGGTCTAGGAATTTAGGCTGTTGACAAAAAAAAAAAAAAAAAGATGGGTCAATAATTATTTTGGACATGGGTCAGCCACTATTTTAGACATGGAATCAATTAAAATACATGATACAATTTTTTTTTTTTTTCAATTTCACGTGGGTCAGCTGACCCACGTCACAACGTGCTGCCTCCGCCACTGTGTGAAGCTAACCTTATGCTGCCTATGTTCTTAGTGGAATACAGGAAAGGAACCATTCACAAGATATTCAAAGAAGCAAAAGAGTTTCCACGTTTTCAAACCTCTTTCAATTTAGATTATGTTTGCTTGAGGACAAGCAAAGATCTAAGTCTGGGGGAGTTGATATACCTCTATTTTACATACTTTTTATACTATTTTAGTATGGTTTTCTAATGGTTATTAGCAGGTTTTCTATCTAAAAAGGTAGTTTTATTGGATTTATAGTACTAAGAGTCTAAACAGGTGAAATGATGCATTTTGGAGCAAAACCATAGGATTTGCACTTCAACCCGCTCCATACCGAAGCATTGAGAAGGCCTTAAAAACAATCTACTCAATGGATTTCATCAAGACCACTTCGCCGCGCTCTGAGTGAGTTAACTTTCCAACGCAAGTGGTTTGGTATCATTTGGATGAGTAGAAATGAAGTTATGATCAATTTAGTGAAGACTGGTCCAGACGTCTTAACCGAGCTACCGCGTTCCAACCGTGCGTACAGGCCGACCGAGAAGCTATCGTCCCATGATCGACCCGCGCAAAACCTCCGCGTTCCATCCCGCCTAGTGCATGGCCGAGCTCACGTACCGACCCGGGAAGCATCGTTCCGTGGTCGACCCTTCCAAGACTCGCCACCATAAGCCGCGCACGACCGCACCACGCGAACCGGGAGGCATGGACTCACGACCGTGCAGCACTTCATCTGTGCCACACACGAGCGTACCGTCCGATCAGGAAGGCATCGTCCCGCGTCCGGCCAAAAACATTCGACCAAAACCATTCGTCTGGCCGAACCCGACGACCGAACGACAAATCCCTCGGCCACGATCGACCCGATCGTGCCAATGGCCAATCATCATCTGATAACCGGCCGAACGTCCCGACCGACCGTCCGAACGGTCCGATTGACCCGAAGCCCGTTTTGAAGCCCGTTTCACACGTTTCCACGGCCCGACTTGACTTAATGCCGCCTCTGGAGACCTAGTACTATAAATACAACTTTTTAGCTTCTTGAGAAAGAGAGCCGCATTATATCACGTTTTAGCACTTTTGAGTTTTGTTCTAGAGATTTCAAGGAGAAGATCTCTCCTCCTCACTTCAATTTGGAGAAGTTTTCTAAACCCTTATTGATCTATAATGCTTTCATCATCTCTTTGTGTTATTGCTTTGATTATGTCTGAGTAATTCACTAGTTAGGTTGTGGGATCTATCAACGAGTTCATGGTTCGATAGGTTGATAGGAATTGACTAGGGTTTATTATATTAGATCTTCATCTTCACTTAAATTCATTGCTGCTTGCTTTTCTTATCAACTAGCATCAGATCTTAGGTTTCATATACTCTCAAAAAGCTGCTATATAACCGGAACTAAGTGTTTGATGAACAACACTTCATAGACTGCGAAAGTTGATCTATGCGGGGTTGTGAACAATTGGGTCTTGAACGAATTAACGCTTGATTTAATCACCAAGAGGCATACCAAAAGTTTAGCGACTAGGTAGATTAACAAAGGGGTCGGAGCCTCGAAAGTGGAAAGATCATACCTTCATGACCTGAGTTCTAGATAACGCTCAATACCCTAGTTAAACTTTCTATCATCTTGTTAACCTTGAATCTCTGCGAGTTTCTCACTGCATAGCGTTTTGTCCTTATTGATTTTCATAAACCAATTAAGCTGCTGTTTAGTTCTTTAGTTATTAAACAAATCAAAACCCCAAAATCTTACATTGTCTTCTAGCTAAATTTGATTTGCAATACTCGTAGTGTACTTATCTGCTCCTTGTGTTCGATAACCCGTTACTACTTCTGACCTGTGCACTTGGAGAATCAGGGATAGGAATAGGTAAAACCTGATCCCGGATCAGTTTGGTAAGGATATTTATGTCGGCAACTTTAACTATGTTTCCTTTAATGAGTATTGTAAGAATATTTTTGGCTTTGTTTGAGTATATTTGACAAAAATATTTCTTCTCTTGGTTTATGTATGTGGACCACAAGTTTAATTGGTACAAGTGAAGTGTTTCTACTTTCTTCTATGGATTTCCCGGCTCAATAGGAAGCATTGACTGTATGCATTGGGAGTGGAAGAGTCGACCCACAACTTGGAAGGACAATATTCACGTAGCCATAAAAAATTGACAATCATTTTAGAGGCTGTGGCGTCGTATGATCTATGAATTTAGAACACTTTTTTTTTTGACCTCCATTTACTTTAAATGACATTAATGTTTTCCACCGCTCACCCGTGTTTAATGATAAATTAGAAGGCGGAGCTCCTATAATGGACAGCGAAACAAGTTGGCTTACTATCTCACAGATGGTATATATCTGGATTGGTCAACTTTCATCCAACCAATTAATCGGCTACAAAAACCGAAAGATTGTTTATTTTCTAACCATCAACCGTTTGTCTGAAAAGAAGTTGAGCGCGCTTTTGGAGTTTTGCAAGCTTGATTTACAATTGTCAAACTACGGATACGGAAAAAGATAGAAAATATAATGAAAGCTGAAACTACCAAGCTTTTTTTATAATTAAATAAATACTAAACAATTCTAGCGGAAGCCTTTAAAATAAATTAAATAAATAATAAAATTAAATAAAAATACTCAGCATAAGCAAATAACAATAAAATAAATCTAGCAACCTAAACACAAGCTAGCAAGTCAAACAAAAGAAATAATAAAACATCCTATCATCCCCTTCTTCGGCCTTGATTCTGCGATCACTTAAACCTTTTACCTGCAACACATTGCGAAAGAGTTGCATAAATACTTAGTGAGGCGATCACTCTACCTACAAGCCAATTAAATAATATTAGTAATTCTCAATAATTATAAAAATATGTTTTCTCAATTATTAAATAATTCTCATAATTAAATAATAAATTTTCACACTTAAAATAATTTCCATATGTATTTTAGACCAAATAGTTAATTAATTAAAATAACCATTAATTAATTAAATCCCGAATTAAACCACTAAATTCAATTAGACCAATTAGACCAATTAAACCAAACTAAATTCGATTAAACCGGACTGAACCGGCCTGTGTCGACCGACACCAGCTTGGTATTGCTCGACACGGGTTCGATAACCCGACAACTGCGAAACAACACAGAAACAGCAGATTTACCACAAAATCAACCAAACAACACGAAATCACACTCATATCACATGAACTCATCAAGAACAACATCAGCCCATCATGGATCTAGCAAGTATCAAGCCTATAGTAACGCACATGACCGGCCCGTAGCTAAAGCGGGTAAAGCCACGCTTAGGCGCCAAATTTTATATAAGGTTTTAGGGGCGCCAAATTGTAAAAAACGCTTGTAATCTAGTGGTATATGTCTTCCTCTTGTGCTTCAGGTCAGCAGTTCGACTTTGGATTTCTGTTTTTATTATATTTTTGGCCAACCAGTTCGGGTCGGCCCTGGTCACGCACTCACCTCAAACGGGTTGAAAAGGGGGGAAAAGGAAGAGAGAAATATGCACAACAATATATAGAACTCCGATCCAACACCAAAACTCGAAAATCTCTCCAAACACTCCACTTTTCTCCTCTGTAGCCTCTGAATTCGAAAATTGTGCAAAAGAAGACGAATGCACTCTTTTAAACTTAATTTTAGGGCTTCCTTGCCTAAACCGGCCCAAACCAGCAACTTAAATTGATCCGGATTCGATTTCCAATTGATGTGTCGACCGATACACATCCTTGTGTCGCTCGACACAACCTCCAAAACTCCACAAAGTGGGCTACGTATGTTACAACTCTCCCCACTAAACTGGATTCGACCTCGAATCCCGACACATAACATCTCTTAAAGACCACAAAATCCGTTCTCGCAAGGTTACAACACTGGAGATACTCACCTGATCCCCGAGACACACATCAAATCTTATGTTATAAGCATGTTTCTAGACATTTTCACTCTTAACTCATCACCCACAAAGAAAAGCCTCTTGTATTAGGGCCTACTTGCAACCCAGACAAGTCCACACCGGCTCACACTGAGACCAATTGCACCCAGACGAACCTGAAACTGCTTATACTGAGACCTACTTGCACCCAGATAAGCTACTCAAACTGAGGCCTACTTACACCCATAAGAGTCTACCAGAGAACAACTGTTTTCCAAAACCGTAATGAGTTTTTCATGACCGCTGCCCTTAGAGTACAAATTATGGATTTGACCGTCTCACGACCAAACCGGTCAAACACTTGTAACATCCGAAACCATTTTCAACAACACAAGACAAATTGAGGAAAACTACATCTCATAAACATCAAAAATGTATCTTGTTACAACCCAAACGAAAATACAAATACTTAACTCAAAAGCCAAATAACGGGGAACTACAAAAATGAAAGAAGCTCACTCCTCGACCTGCTTGTCGAACCACTTCCTGAACTGACACAGCTTGGTGTCGCTTGACACGGGTTCGATAGCCCGACTCCAAAACCAGCGAAACAACACAGAAACAACAGATTTACCACAAAATAAACCAAACAACAGGAAATCACACTCATATCACATGAACTCATGAAGAACAACATCAACCCATCATGGATCTATTAATTCGCGAGCCTACAGTCACTCACTCACCTCAAACAGATTGTAAAGGGGAAAAAGGAAGAGAGAAAGATGCACAACGATGAACAGAACTTCGATCCAACACCAAAACTCGAAAATCTCTCCAAAAACTCCACTTTTCTCCTCTGCAGCGTTTGAACTCGAAAATTGTGCACAAGAAGACGGCTGCACTCTTTTAAACTTAATTTTAGGGCTTCCTTGCCTAAACTGGCCCAAACCAGCAACTTAAATTGAACTAGATTCGATTTCCAATTGCTGTGTCACCGACACACATCCTAGTGTCGCTCGCCACAACCTCCAAAAATCCAAAAATTGAGCTAAAAATATTACACAATATGATAGTGGAAGATGAACGAAACAGTGACACTCAGTATGATGAAGAAGAATTCTAACAAGGAGAAGGAGACGGAAGAGGGTCTTCACAAGTGCATGTCACGGCTTCCGACGATATGTCTACGAACGTCAACAAAGTAATGGCCAATCGAGCTGATATTCGTGATGAACAAAAACATCACCAATTGAAAGATGATTTGGTTGAGCATATTTTGAATAAATTTGGTTCTAGATCATGTTGTCATATGTAGAGGTTCTTACAAAGTTTGTGTGGGATAAAAAAAACAAAGATTGGGTCAACAAGACAGAGAGAAGTGCATCACTGGGATAGTTATCATAGAAAAGGTTGACAAAAGTATAAAGAAGAACAAATGTTACAACTATAGAACTGTTTCATTTAGTATCATATAGACTCAATACCATGAGCCCAGCTTTTGTTTTATTTCATACTAATTCTAATAATACCTTTTTCCCATCTAATATCCCCATATGGCTATAGATAACAACATAACATTTGTAAAAAATAAGTTTTAATAGATGAAATAAAAGTTTATTATCGAGTGTTTTTCATGTACTGTCTTTTTCATTGATTTGAAGAGGAAATAAAAGTAGAAAACCAATTAGAAACAGAGACGCTACACCATATTAAACCAAGATAATAACAAAAATAAACAGAGACAAAACAAAGGCAAAAACAAAGACAGCAACAGAACAATATAATATACTAAGAAAAATTAGCACTACAAAGAAGTATACATTCATAGCATGTCGTAATAGCACGGTTTGTTAAACTGCTATTGAAGATGAGTTTGTAATTCCGGCTATCATATTATAGCATTGCATGAACGCTATGATAGTGTTTTAATAAGCGGGAAGCTAATTACTCTTATTCCGCCAACACTTAGTAAAATTTAGTCCATTAAGCGCCAAAGACTTCAGATTTTCCCCCTTCTCTCTCTCATTGTGTTCTCGAAAAACCCTCAGAAACAAAAAATACCGGAAAAAAAAATCTCACAACTTTCTGAAACACTCCATCTACAATCGCCGTCGCCGCTGAAGCTAGTTGGAACTGTATCTCCTCAGCAATTTTCCGACTTCTTCTCCGTCGACATTGGGCTCCAATCAAAGGCATGTATTTCTAAATCTGTTGCTGCTTTTCGTTACTACCTATAAAATTGATTTCGCCTTCGTGATGCTTGCGGAATTATGAGACTTCTGTGTGAATGTAGCACATTGCAGTTCATTGATTATAGGGTTTATGTAGCTATTCGAAAGTGGGTTAAAATCCGATTTATGTATGACTGTAGCACATTGTAGTTCATTGCATGCCAATGTTATTTGCGAATGCACATTAATTTTCGTGAATGTGGTTTACTGGATTAGACTTAATCGTGGTTCAACAAGTAGGATGAACAACTTTTGTCTTCCAATGTTTAGATTTACAAGATTATAACATATTGTCTTCAAAATTAGACGCCTTGTTTCTTCTCAGCTAATTTGAACTGTCGAATACATTCAACTGAATTCAGTAATGCGTATGATACAAATACATATAAAATAACATGATTGTTCAGACATATATGATGTTTAGAAACAATCTGCATTTGTTCTCTCATGTAAATCTCTATCTCATTGTTAACATTATGCTCCCTCTGCTATTGTTTTGCAAGTGTTTCTGACTGAAATATTAGGGATTGAAGCTTCTCTTTTGCTGTTATCACACAACAGGTCAGTCACTATCTTCCCGAAAATGTTGTGGCTGTTTATGTCTTTCACTTGTCCTTTTTTTTTGACTGTTGCTAGTATGCGGGTTTAGATTGCCTCAAATTTTCACAATTTATAAACCCAACTAATGAGCTGCAAGTGCACAGCCGTGTTGTAGTCGGGGTCGAACACGAGGAGGAAGTGTTCTCACTTAACACCTTGTGAGATTGGTTTGTAGCTAGCTCGCAATATGATGGTTTTGGACCTAGAATGAGAAACAAAACAAAAGAAATGTGAGTGAGTTGTAAACAATTTAAAACAAGAGTTAGGCAAAGGACAATCATATGGAGCAATGATGAAAAGATAGTTGCATGGGATGTGTGTAGAGCCGTCTTGAACATGAATCACTAGTGTATGGTCTTTCCACTGTCGTGGCTCCAACCACTATGTTTAAAACAACCTAATATACTCAGCTTTCGTTGGCTATTAGAATTGCAAACATGCATTAAAGGTGATCAAGATTCAATTGTTCACAATAAACCATAACTCAGCTTTCGTTGGCTATGATCTATTGCTCACCAAATACTAGTTTTGAGATCTAGATTCAGCACTGTCGTGGTTCTATTTCTCTAAGATCAGATTACTAGATGTACGGTAGAGTAATCATGCATTAAGCTCAAGTAAAGGTGAAGATCCATAAGATAAATCCCAATAAGTTGCAACACAATCAAATCATCACGGCCACCATAGATCTCCTCGGCCTAACTAAGAGATCTACTCGGCCATGATGCAAACAAGCAAGCAAAGCATGATTGTAAACATTATGCAAGTATTAAAAGAGATAAAGGGATGAAGAAAGCTTCTCTATTGATGAACAAAGTCGGATTCTCCCTTGAAAACTCTTAAGATCAAGTTTATAGAAATGGAAACAATGAAAAAGAAAGAACAAGAGTTGAGCGGCGCCTCCTTCTTCTTGGACGATCTCCTAGGGCTTCTCTCTCTCTTCTCTGACTCTCTTCTCACAAACTCACACGACGACTCTCTTCTTCAGCGGCTAAAAACATGTATATATGGGCGAAGTCGCGTAGGGTTTTCTTCATGCCGGAAAAGGAAAGTTTCCCATGAGCCGAGCCTTCTTCTCCACGTCGTGTATGGGCCGACATTGTACCAAGGAAAGCTCCAAACATTAGCCAGGCCTCTTCTCTATTCGATCAAGGCCTTTGGCGCTGCTGCTCGGGCCATTAGACACTCCAAATCCTCCATGGGCTTCGTTTGCTCGCTTACCGGACATGTCTCGGTAGAAAATAAGTTTAGGCCTCATAGTTGATCCAAATGGCTTCATTCCACTTCGACGTGATGCATGACTCAAGTATCTATCTTTCCATATCAAGATCGTAACTTTTGGACGTCGGGAACTCCTCCGCGCGCGGCCAAACTTCCGAAGCTTCGTTCTGCGCGCTAGCGAGAACTAACACTTGGAGATAAAATGATCTTCTTGACTTGGAAACTTGCATGGATCTTGATTTAGGGCTCTTTTACTCCTTTTTGCATCCTTTTTGATGGTTTCACCTACAAAGACTTCAAATCCCACAAATACAAGAAAACTACCTCTAAAGGCAAAGAATCTTGCAAAAACCGTTTGAAAACATAATATTATATAGTAAAATCATGTAAAATATGGTGATATCAACTCCCCCAGACTTAGCCTTTTGCTTGTCCCCAAGCAAACTAAGCAGGAAAAGAGGTTTGAAAACGTGAGAACTCTCAAATCTTTTGGAAATCCAAATTGACTTATGCTTTAGTAATCCACATGAAACAGCATTGGCAAGTTTTGAATTAAGAACAAAGTACATACCATGAGTTTTGCGATTTTCCCAAAGCGGTCCACCTCTCCTTGGACAATCCAATTCGCCACCCTTGACTCCTTTCATTTCTAAAGGTGTGGTCTCAACTAGGGAGTATCGATCAGCCGGCTTTTTACTCATCCCCTTGTTTGGCACTTGTCTTTTTACTCCATGTTTCTCCTCTCTCTCTTCTCACTTCTTTGAGTTGATTCATCCCTTTTTTAGGGTAGCGAAGTATTTTTTTATTCAACTCCTTCTCTTTATTATAGAGGTTTTGCTTGGATCTTCCACAGACGCGAGTATTGATGGTGTTTGCCACCGAATCCCCGGTTGCTTGGATTCATAGGCCTTCCATAGACGCGAGTATTGATGGTGTTTGCCACCGAATCCCCGGTTACTTGGACCTTACGCTTTTTCTTTAAATTTGAAGGGGAGAGAGAGGGAAGCACGAACTCACTAAGACTTTTTCATTTGATGGAGAGGATGAGGAATCATGCCATTTGTATGCCAAGCCCCTAGCTGAGAAGATTAAGTTCATTAAGGGCGGAGTCAAAGATGGATCCTTCTCAAGTCTTTAGAGATGTAGGCGTTTTTGGTAGATCGATCAACTCATAGTGCACCTGTGGTAAGATGTATTGCCAAGAACTGCTCAATGGTCACTTAAACATTAGTACAACCATGGTTAGATCCAAGATAAGGTCATGATTCTCGACAAAAATTTTGACTCAATAAAAACGACTCGATAAAAGGGAAAAATGCAAATGAAAATGCCAAAATGAACAAACATTGTTAGTAATCCCCCCAGACTTAACTTGCACCGTCCCGGTGAAAGCAAATCGGATTAAGAGAGGTATAACATGAAGTTCAAATGAAAAATTGAAAAGAAAAAGGTTTAGGATGATGTTACCAAATGTCGACCAATTTATAATGAAGATCAGTTCCGGTTTGGGTCATTCTACACTTCTTTAGGCAATATTGGTCGGTGAGTTTTTAATTTCAGGCCTTGGTTTCCGCCGGTTTGTGTTTTGGCCGAGATTGGTATATTCGGTCGGCCAAAATGTGGTGCTGTGAACTACAGAACAAACCGTCAAAAATTTCATGACCTATATTGAAATTTCATCGACCAACCTGGTATTTTATGGCCTCTGGTGAAGTTTGGGAGCATTTGACGAGCGGATTGAGACTTCCTTCACAAAATGGTCAAGTCGGCTCCGGGAAGGAGTTTCCTTGGCCATGTGAAGTTTGGCTCGTTCCTTTTCGTTTCTTCCTGCATAAAAGTGTTAGTTAAGCTCAAGGAAGAGTTTTCCAACCGGTTGGCGCGCCTATGCCGTGATTTGGTTTGTCGGCCATATTGCTTGCGCGCCATCGGCCAGAATGAGCTCCGTCGTCTATCTCATGATCCGTGATGATTTCTCCGTCCTATCTTTTGGATTTGCCGACCAAAATGTGATTTTATGGTCGCCTGTGAAGTTTGGTGGACTTCGGTCACGCCGTTTAGGAGTTGGCCGTAATGGTTCTCCTTGTGCGCGGTATGGCCGAGAGAAATGTGTGGATTGAATTTCTTCAAATCCACTCGGGCCAATTGAGATTTTCTTCGACCGAATTGTTTTAATAACCCTCCTGTGTCATTCCCAAGTGGTGGCCGCCTTGTTTCGTGTGATGGCCTTGTATCTCCTTTTAACCTCCCTTTGGCCGCCATATGCATGTTGGTTTTGAGGTTGGTTATAGGTTTGCTCATTTCTCCTTCCTGTCAAATGGTTAACTCCTTGCAAAACACTTGAAATCATGATTAGATGGTTTCTCAGATTGTGATCCTCAAGTGACCAACTTGAAGTTCACAATCCAAGAGATTAAAGCACAAACTATAAATTCTTATTTGGTCTTGGTCAATGATCCAAATTTCAAACTATAGTTCAATCTCTTGTAATTTCAGTGAGAAATGAGTTTTGACAAGTGATTATGTATTCTTTCCAATCATCAAAAGTAAATCAAGTTAAACCATGAAATATATTTGATAAAGTGCAATGGTTTAAACGATTTTTCAAGTGAAGATCAAGAGTGATTATGAAATGAATACTAGGTGAGATTTACTTACCTTTTGGAAGAGAAACGCCTTGTACAAGGGTGGGCTCATTGGGTGGGACACTTCCATTGTTTGGTCTCCTTTGGGTCTTCATCCTAAGAAAATATTTTTGTATTTTTGTTTGATTTTTGAAAAACTCCTGCAAAATAGAAATAGATAGTTAAAAACCATATGGGTTGCCTCCCATAAAGCGCTTTTGTTTTAAGTCATTTAGCTTGACTCCTTTTCTTTCTTTCAATCGTGGTGAAGAGTGGCTGAAGGGCAAAGGATCCCTTTAGCTTCTCCATTCTCCGGTTCAGTGGATTCTTGTGGTGGTGTTGTCGCGCCATAGTCATCTCTCACATCATCTTTGAAAACCAATGCCTTGGGGAAAAGCTTCATAGTTCTCTCAAGCTTCTCTTCAATGGATTGGTCACCTTTAAGCTCCGAATCTTTTGGTGTAAAGATTCTTATCTTGTGAAAGAGATTAGGTGCACCATTAGTCTCCTCTTCAGCTCCATATTCGTCAAAGGTTGGAAGTAAGATGGAGTTGATATTTTAAAGACATTTTCATGCCTCGGCTCCAATGTTTTCTTCTTCTCCTTTGGTTTTGGGTAGCGCTCACTCTCTCTTCATGCAGCATGGCTTCTTTCTTAGGCATGAGAGTGGCTTCTTCTGGTGGTAGCTTGGTCGCACTTGGCACTGACCTGAAATTTACACTTGGGAAAAAGATATCTTGCCGGATGTGGCCAAAAGATAGATGATTCCCAAAGTAGTTTAGGACCGCTCCAGCTGTAGCAAGGAATGGGGTTCCAAGAATCAGTTGATTCCTCTTTGAGCCTTCCCAAATCATGACTTGAAAGTCAGTTGGGACCGATCGACCCCCTATTTCCATCATGACATCTTCAAGCATTCCATAAGGTTCCATGCACGATAGATCCGCGAACTCGACTCTTATCTTGGGGCTCTTGAATTCCTTGAATCCCAAATCTTTTGCAAGTGCAAGAGACATTAGATTAACATTAGCACCAGTATCACATAGGCAATCGTGGAGTTGAATGCCATTGATACTTGAAGTTATCACAAACTTCCCCGGATCTTCTTGTTTTTGTAGTGGCTTGCCTTCAAGTCTTCTCTTGTAAGCTCTTCTTGATTCCCAACTGTATCTCTCCGGTTTGTGCCTCTCCTTAGGCTCATTTTCTTCTTCTTCCCCTTGAGATAGTGTAGGAACAATTGTGCCATCTATAGATGAGACAACACTACAAAATTTTTGAGTGTTTACCTCATTTTGTTTCTTGGCCGCCTCGGCTGTTTGAGCGATTTGCACCTCAAGCTTTTGAACGTGAGTAGAGAGAGACCCAAACTTGCTGCTTAGATCACCAAACATGTGATCAAGCTTCTCATATAGGTTCTTGGTGATCAATCTCTGCTCCTCCATGTATTTCTTCAACGCCACGTCAACCTTCTCTCCGGTTTGGGTTGGATTTGTTTCTTGAGAAAAAGTGAATGGTTGCTTCACTTGGTACATCCCTCTTGGATAGACTTGTTGTGGCTTGGATTGGTATTGGCCTCCTTGATACGCTCCTTGATTGGGGTAGACTTGGTCATTTGGATTCTCCACATTGTTGCTCCGGTATGATAGGTTTGGATGCGCGCGAAATGGTGGATTGAATCCTCTATTCCCATAGTTTCCTCCAATGTAGTTGACTTCCTCTAGATTCTCTTCAGTGCCATCTCTCATGAAATCCATAAGAGTGTCTTCATTTGTGGCTAGGGCATCTTCAATGGCGTGAACTCCTTGTCGGCTTTTAAGTAGTTGTGAGACCATGTTCCTTAGCTCCGAGATTTGAGCTGATTCTGATGAGCTCGTGGTCTTCACGCTTCTATTGTAGTCAGGGCATGCATTGGCATCACTAGCAGCGAGATTCTCAATCAAAAGCTTTGCCTCCGGCACCGACTTGGTCATGAAATTACCATTGCTCGCGGTATCGAGAGAAAGCTTGTATTTATGATCAATCCCATTGTAAAAGATGTTCCAAAGGTTACCTTCTGAAAAGCCATGGTTAGGGCAGCTTCTTGTGTACTCCTTGAATCTCTCCAAAGCTTCATAGAATGACTCCATTGAATCTTGCTTGAAACCAGAAATCTTGCTCCTTATAGAGTTGGATCTTTGCTTAGTGTAGAATTGGTTCAAGAAAGCTCCCTTGTATTCATTCCATGTTGTAATGGACTGAGGTGGTAAAGATTTTACCCATCTTAGCGCCTTGTCACTTAGAGAAAAAGTGAATAGCTTGCACTTGAAGTAATCCGGTGATACTCCATTAACACGAGTTGTGCTACATATCTCCTCAAAGGTGTCGACGTGATCAAGAGGATGCTCAGTGGGCAAACCATGGAATTGGTTTTGCTTCACCAAGGCAATGATCTGCGGTTTGATCTCAAAATCGTTCCTTGGAGGTAGAGGCGGTCGGATTGGATTCCGATCCATAAAGAAAGGCATCGGACGAATCAAAGTCTCCCATAGTTTGGTGCCTTGGATGCTGCGCGTTTGGCACTCTCCTTGGAGGTGCGTGAGGTTGGTCTTGAGGCATCCCTTGGTTGTCACCGTGACGATGATGTCCATTTGCAAACGCCGGTGGTGGTCGCGGCGGGTTAAGAGGTGGCTGTAGCGGCTCAGCTGCATCGGGCGCGTTCGGATTGGGTGGAGGAACGTCTCTGGCCGGTGCTGGCTGGTCAGCTCTAGCTTCTGCTGGATTAGGAGGATCATTGGCTCTCCTCTCTTGGTCGGGCGGGTTGTGTGGCCTATTTGGCGCGCCTTCTCCGCCTGGATTCATTCTTTCTCTCCTTAGTCGCCTAAGTGTGCGCTCAAGTTGGTCAATGTCAAGATCTTCTTCAATGGTTGTATTTGGATTGGACCTTCTTGTCATGCACCTTAGAAACACACAAAGAGAGAGTTAAGTAAAATTTTTATGAGTTTTTAAGATTTTATGAAAAACAAAAACAAAGAAAAGTGAAAGATGAGATGAGCTAGTCTTGAAATCAATCAAGAGGTGTGAAGGAAAAGCAACTCCTCCCCGGCAACGGCGCCAGAAAGCTTGATGGCGGGTTTAGATTGCCTCAAATTTTCACAATTTATAAACCCAACTAATGAGCTGCAAGTGCACAGCCGTGTTGTAGTCGGGGTCGAACACGAGGAGGAAGTGTTCTCACTTAACACCTTGTGAGATTGGTTTGTAGCTAGCTCGCAATATGAGGTGGTTTTGGACCTAGAATGAGAAAACAAAACAAAAGAAATGTGAGTGAGTTTGTAAACAATTTAAAACAAGAGTTAGGCAAAGGACAATCATATGGAGCAATGATGAAAAGATAGTTGCATGGGATGTGTGTAGAGCCGTCTTGAACATGAATCACTAGTGTATGGTCTTTCCACTGTCGTGGCTCCAACCACTATGTTTAAAACAACCTAATATACTCAGCTTTCGTTGGCTATTAGAATTGCAAACATGCATTAAAGGTGATCAAGATTCAATTGTTCACAATAAACCATAACTCAGCTTTCGTTGGCTATGATCTATTGCTCACCAAATACTAGTTTTGAGATCTAGATTCAGCACTGTCGTGGTTCTATTTCTCTAAGATCAGATTACTAGATGTACGGTAGAGTAATCATGCATTAAGCTCAAGTAAAGGTGAAGATCCATAAGATAAATCCCAATAAGTTGCAACACAATCAAATCATCACGGCCACCATAGATCTCCTCGGCCTAACTAAGAGATCTACTCGGCCATGATGCAAACAAGCAAGCAAAGCATGATTGTAAACATTATGCAAGTATTAAAAGAGATAAAGGGATGAAGAAAGCTTCTCTATTGATGAACAAAGTCGGATTCTCCCTTGAAAACTCTTAAGATCAAGTTTATAGAAATGGAAACAATGAAAAAGAAAGAACAAGAGTTGAGCGGCGCCTCCTTCTTCTTGGACGATCTCCTAGGGCTTCTCTCTTCTCTCTTCTCTGACTCTCTTCTCACAAACTCACACGACGACTCTCTTCTTCAGCGGCTAAAAACATGTATATATGGGCGAAGTCGCGTAGGGTTTTCTTCATGCCGGAAAAGGAAAGTTTCCCATGAGCCGAGCCTTCTTCTCCACGTCGTGTATGGGCCGACATTGTACCAAGGAAAGCTCCAAACATTAGCCAGGCCTCTTCTCTATTCGATCAAGGCCTTTGGCGCTGCTGCTCGGGCCATTAGACACTCCAAATCCTCCATGGGCTTCGTTTACTCGCTTACCGGACATGTCTCGGTAGAAAATAAGTCTAGGCCTCATAGTTGATCCAAATGGCTTCATTCCACTTCGACGTGATGCATGACTCAAGTATCTATCTTTCCATATCAAGATCGTAACTTTTGGACGTCGGGAACTCCTCGCGCGCGGCCAAACTTCCGAAGCTTCGTTCTGCGCGCTAGCGAGAACTAACACTTGGAGATAAAATGATCTTCTTGACTTGGAAACTTGCATGGATCTTGATTTAGGGCTCTTTTACTCCTTTTTGCATCCTTTTTGATATTTCACCTACAAAGACTTCAAATCCCACAAATACAAGAAAACTACCTCTAAAGGCAAAGAATCTTGCAAAAACCGTTTGAAAACATAAATATTATATAGTAAAATCATGTAAAATATGGTGATATCACTAGTAACTACATATAGTGGCTGAAATTAGTGTGTTTCTGGTTTTCTGATTATTGATATACTCGTTTTACATTTGCCATGACAATGAACTCTAGATATTGTTTAGTTTGATCATTATTAGAACCTGTGATACAAGTATTTTTGTCTGATTGAGTGATTTTGTGATGCTTTACACTGATGGGTAAACCCTGATATGCTGCCTATGGTATAAAAGGTTTTCATTACGGTAGAACTTAGAATGGTGGACAGGGCTTGGGTTTATCTTTGCAGGTATAAAATTAAATTGGATAGGTTAGGTTCCAGGTGAGTCTAGTCTCTACTATGTTTTTTTTTTTTTTTTTTTTTTTTTTTTTTTTTTTTTTTTTCATTTCTGCGACGAAGAGCTGATCATGGTTATGAGAAAGGGGCATCAGAGTTTATTAGAGATGTGGCTGCGGCTCTGGGAGACGTTGATATGATCGTGTGTCCTTGCATTGACTGTCGTAACATAGATCGTCATGCTAGCAATGTTGTAGTTGATCATCTTGTTACGAGGGGAACGGATGAGGCGTACAAGAGTATTGAGATATGTAGAGGTTAATGTGCCATAAGGCCTTAATCTCTAGAGAGTGTGTAAGCTAAGTCCCACATCGGAAGTGGGAAGGGACCTTGCGCGATATATAACGGACTGAGGCCTCTCCACCTATTGCCAATTGGTTTTAGGTTGGATGCCAAGAAAACTTAACATGGTATCAGAGCTCGATCCGCACACTCTCACGACCCGGCCTAGAATGGGCCCGACCCCCGACCCTAGGATTGATGGTCTGTGAGATTAATGGTTAGAAAGACCATTATCTCGAGGGAAGGTATTGAGATATGTAGAGGTTAATGAGCCATAAGGCCTTAATCTCTAGAGAGTGTGTAAGCTAAGTCCCACATCAGAAGTGGGAAGGGACCTTGAGCAATATATAAGGGACTGAGACCTCTTGATGTACTTGCATTTTACATAGTTTTAGCACATCTTTTATGCATCTTTTGCATAGTTTTAGCTTCCATTTGCATCATATCTTGTTCCTTTTCTCTTCTTATGCATTCATGTTAGTTTTAGGTTGCATTTGCATACATATGCATGTTTGGTCCTTTGAAATAGGTCTTTTGGAGCATTCTGGAGCATATGGGACATAAGGAGCATGGAGGGACTTGGCACATGGAAGCAGCTCAACTGGATACGCAAAGGAAGAAGGGAGAAGCCATCTTGAAGACCAGCTCGACCGTCCACTCGACCAACCGGTCGAGTTCCTCAACTCGACCGGCCAAGCTTCAACTCGATCGAGCTGGAAGTCAAAGTCAAACCCGAAAAATGTTGCTTCCCCCTTGACTTTCCTTTGACCCTAAACCTAATCCTCTTTGTATTTAAAGGCTCTAAGCCACGAAAAAACCACCAAGCTTTAGATTATTTTGTTTTAGTTTCTTTTAATTTATTGTACTTTTACTTTTTAGAGATCTAATCCCATCTTTGTGTTCTTGAAGCTCTTGCTTCTTGAATCCTTAGATCCTGGATAATCTCTCTTGTATTTGCACTTGCTTATTTCAATAAAAGTTGTTTAATTTCATCTCCTCTTTCTTATGATGTCTCTTTTATTGCATTTGCTTGTGTTTACATTCATGTGTAGTGAGTAGTTACCCATTGGGGTTTGAGATGGGATAGATTAGAGGTTTCATATGCTTAATCCTTCTAGCTTATGGTCTTAATCTAGATTCTCTCTCTTTTGGATAGATCTTAAGGCTACATGACCACTACCCCTGGCTTGTAAGTCCTTAGGCGACTCCCCACACGAAAGTGATGGCATTCGCTGGAAAAGATCCACTAAGAGCTCCAATATCTCTTGCTCTAGAAATAGAGGTCTAAGGGGTTGGATGGATTAGTTTGGGCAATGATCCTATAGCCTCCAAGGTTTGATTCTCACTGGCTAACCCCCTGTTTCTGAGATCATTCCTTGGTTGATAGCCTCCACCTTGGGAAAGGGTTGGCTAGGCATTGAGAAGCCCAATATCAAGAGAAGCCTTGATACAAGGAGTTTTAAGAGCTAGATTGATTAAGTGTAGATTCCTTTGATTGCAAAACCCTGTCTTGAACCCTAATTCTCTCTTTATCTTGTTAAAGTCGTCACCTTTAGCTTTGTTTGTCTCAACTCGTCCCTAAACTCGATCGAGCTGGTACTTTGCTCTACTCGACTCGAGCTCTTGGTCGAGCTGACACTTCACTGCTTTGTTTACTTTTATTGCACTGCTTTTCATTTATTTAGGTTGTTAGTGTTACTTCAAATCTTTAACTGCTTGCTTGACTTCCTGGTTGTTTCATATTCTCATAGAGTGACAAGTTTCCCATTTTGGATTGATAACCCTTTGTACTACATCAACTATCATGGTTAAAGGGAATTGTTGACTGTGTTTGTGTTTGCATCTTACCACCTCATCATATACCACTGATTGCATTCCACTCATCTCATTTCATATCTTTTCACATCCACACACAAATCTTATCATCACCTCTCCACCTATTGCCAATTGGTTTTAGGTTGGATGCCAAGAAAACTTAACAAAGAGCAGGTCTGATTGGTATCATCATGGGGAACGGAATTCTAGTATAGAAGGTGAAACAAAATCAAGTCAGCGGAATGATGAGATTGCTGGTCTGTATAAAGCTGCTGTATTCTTGGATGAAGAGTTTGGTAATAGTGCTTAGTTTGGTGAGATTGCAGAGGGAGAAGACAAGAAGAAAGATGAGTTCCTTGCCAAAATTGCTGATGCTGAAACACCATTGCATCCAACTTGTGTCAACCACAACAAGCTATCAGCGATTGTATCCTTGTTCAGACTGAAGACACAGAACGGCTGGTCAGACAAGAGTTTTAATGATCTTCTCGAGACTTTGCCAGGGATGTTACCAGCGGATAATGTGTTACACACATCACTTTATGAGGTCAAGAAATTTCTGAAATCATTTGATATGGGTTACGAGAAGATCCATGCCTGTGTCAACGACTGCTGCCTGTTCAGAAAGAAGTACAAGAAGCTTGAGAATTGTCCAAAATGTAAGGTTTTACGGTGGAAGACAAACATTCACACTGGTGAAGTGAAGCAAGGTGTGCCACAGAAAGTGTTACGCTATATTTCAAAAATCCCAAGACTGAAGAGAATGTTTAGATCCGAGGATATGGCTAGAGATTTAAGGTGGCATTTTACTAATAAAAGCACTGACGGCAAACTCAGACACCATGTGGATTTTCAGTTACTTGGGATCAGATGAACGCCAAGTACCCTTCCTTTGCAACAGAAGAAAGGAACGTGAGACTTGGACTTTCCACATATGGCTTTAATCCGTTCAACATGAAGAACAACATGTATAGTTACTGGCCTGTTTTGCTTGTAAACTACAACTTGCCACCTGATTTATGCATAAAGAAGGAAAACATAATGCTTACATTGTTGATTCCTGGTCCACATCAGCCTGGAAATAGCATTGACGTCTACTTGGAGCCGCTCATAGAGGATCTAAACCACTTGTGGAATAACGGAGAGGTCACATATGACGCCTTCAGTAAGTCTACTTTCACTCTCAAGGCGATGCTGCTTTGGACGATAAGTGATTTCCCGGCTTATGGAAATCTTGCAGGCTGCAAAGTGAAAGGTAAAATGGGCTGTCCTTTGTGTGGGAAAAATACTGATTGTATGTGGTTGAAGTTCAGCAGGAAGCATGTATACATGTGTCATAGAAAGCGGCTGCCACCTACACATAGCTTTAGGGGAAAGAAGTCGTGGTTTGATGGAAAGTGGAACAGGGCAGAAAGGGAAGAATTTTAACTGGTCGTGAAATATGTCAGAATCTCAGAAATTTCAAGAACGAGTTTGGAAACTTGAAACGATCCGGTAGAAAGAGGAAAAAGCTTGTGTGTACATCTGTGGGCTCTGAAGTTAAGGATTTATCTAGTGAGTTAGAGGAAGAAGAAGAGGAAGAATTACAAGTAAATGAGGAAGAGTTACTGCGATGGAAGAAAAAATCAATCTTTTTCAAGTTACCTTATTGGGAGGTAAGTTTATATTGTCATGTTCTTAATTGTTATCAATATACTATCATGACACGTTTATTAACTCTGGATTTGTTTTTGTTTTTTTCTTTGGTAGGAACTCCCTGTGAGACATAACTTGGACGTAATGCACGTTGAGAGGAATGTGGCTGCAAGTATAGTGGCTACATTGTTGCATTGTGGAAAATCTAAAGATGGTCTTCAGGCTCGTAAAGATCTAGAGGAGTTGGGTATTAGGAAGGATCTACATCCAACCATCCAAGGGAAACGGACGTATCTACCAGCAGCACCTTGGTCTCTATCCAAGACAGAGAAGAAGATTTTTTGCAGGCGACTATTTGACTTCAAAGGCCCTGATGGATATTGCTCAATCATATCAAGAGGTGTGTCATTAGATGACTGAAAGGTGACGGGCCTGAAATCACATGACTATCACGTCCTAATGCAACAACTTCTTCCAATTGCACTTAGAGGCTTGCTACCTAAAGGTTTGAGGCTAGCAATTGTACGCTTATGCGCATTTTTCAACCATTTGTGTCAGCGAGTCATAGATAGAGAAGAACAATTGGTAATGGAAGCTGAGATTGTTTAGACTCTCTGCATGTTCGAGAGATTTGTTCCCCCAAGCTTCTTCGATATAATGGTGCATCTGACGGTACATCTAGGAAGGAAAGCCCGACTTGGTGGTCCAGTCCATTTTAGGTGGAAGTACCCATTTGAAAGGTATAATTTTCATTACATATGACTCCTCGTTGTTATTTGTACTATTTATAACCAGTTACTCTACAAACTTTCAGGTATATGAAAATTCTGAAGGATTTTTTCAAAAATCCTGCTAGACCAGAGGGATGTATCGCTGAGTCTTACCTTGCTGAAGAATGCATCCAGTTTTGTAGTGACTTTCTGAGGAATACAACAAGTGTACAAGAAAAACAGTATAGAAACACCGAGTACGAGAAAGTATTCATTCTGGAGGGTCGTCCAATCTATGCAGGCTCTCCAGTCGTTGAACCTTACGTAGAGTAAGTTTACATTTGCATTTATTGATCATCTTCTTCTAATGTTTCATAAGCTCACTATCTCATTTTACTTGTTTATTCTTTTGCAAGTGAGCACCTGCAACATCTGCAGGATTGGAACAGAAGATGTAGACGTGATGCATCAGTACTGTGGAATATGCATACACAGAATTTTGCAACTTGGCTAAAAGAACAGGCTAGTTACAAATATTTTTGATTTCTTTTAATTTCCATTTATATATTATGCTGTGTATAGGGCTGACCGTATTTACACTTTTGTTAGATACCTGTTGATTCTACACGACATGGTGATACACTTAAATGGTTTGCATATGGACCTCGTTGCTCTGCAAGATCATACACAGGATATATAGTGAATGGACAACGATTTCACACAAGTTCAATTGATAGGAAAAGTCAGAATAGTGGGATTTTTTATGAGGCAACAGCAGTATGTAGATCTAGTGCGAAAGAGACATCGCAGGTGGTTGATTGGGTGTCTTATTATGGCAGAGTAACGGAAATTATTTTGTTGGATTATAATGTATTCTACGTGGCTCTATTCCGGTGTCAGTGGGCAGTACTGGGAAATGGAGTCAAGAAAGAGGATGGTTTCACACTTGTTAATCTGCATCACATTCATACTTCTTTCTTAAGAGATCCATACATATTAGCCTCACAAGCGAAGCAGGTTTTTTACTCTAGGGAAGATGAGTCATAAAGTTGGTATGTGGTTATGAGAGGTCCTTCTAGAAGATACAGGAAGGAAGAAGTCCACGAAGGAAATGTAGACATTGGGCCATTGCCATCTACTGTTGTCATGGATGTTGATATGGATGACTCTGAGAATTCACGAACTCATTGTGAAGGCATATATGTTTGAAATGTAGCTTCTAGATCATTATAACTCGTTAATGCCTTTAGTGTCTCTGTTGTGTGGTTTGTCATTTTGTTTGTGGTTGTAAAAGAACCTGATATAAGTGACTTAATTTTCTGATTATTGATTGTTTTAGGTAGAATAAAATGGCACGTACCAAGCGAGGAAGGAAAACACAGAAGAAAAACCCGCAAGTTACTGTTGAGGTGGTGGAAGAGCAGCCGGAGTTAGGAGATGATAGACCTGTGGAAGAACAGCCGGAGTTAGGAGATGATGGACCTGTGGAGGAGCAAACGGAATTAGGAGGTGATGGACCTTTGGAAGATGAACAGAACAAGGCAAATATGCAGTCGGCTCAACAAGTACTTGATCGTGAAGAGGAGGAAGACCATGAAGGTGAAATTGAGTTATCAGAAAATGATGAGGCTGGAGCTGAACCTAGCCGTAAGAGACAGCGAGGTCCGACTAGGATGAAAGACATAGCCAAGGATCCAAACAACAAACTGCGAGTAGAGTTCACTTTTACGGGAGAACCATATGGTTTTGGTTCAGTAAAATTGTCTTCATACTTAGGTCCACTGGTCCGAGAACATGTTCCTGTGACACTTACAAGTTGAAGACACTTCTCTGGAAATCTGTACAGGTAACTGATATACCTCTAATTTACCCACTTTTTATACTGTTTTAGCATTGTTTTCTAATGGTTTTTGGCAGGTTTTCTATCTAAAAAGGTAGTTTTACTGTGTTTATAGTGTCTAGAGTCTAAACAGGTGAAATGATGCATTTTGGAGCAAAACCATAGGATTTGCACTTCAAGCCGCTCCATGCACAAGCACCAACTTTAAGAGGGCCCAGAAAAAGATCTACTCAATGGATTTCATCAAGACCAGTTCCCTGCGTGCTCTGATTGAGTTAACTTTCCAACGCAACTGGAATGGCCTATTTGGATGAGTAGAAAAGGAGTTACAACCAAAAGAGTGAAGACTGTCCAGACGGCTCTATCGAGAACAGCGCCCAACCGCGCAGTCCGGCTGGCCGAGAACGATGTTCCGCGCTCGGCCAAAGTCACATCCGTCCGACTGAAGTCTCGGCCAAAGTTCCAAACCGACCGGCCGATCACGCAACGACCCGGGAAACATTGTCCCGCGGTCGGCCAAGCTTCAAACGCTCACGCCACACCGCGCACGACCAAGCGCGCGAGCCGGGAAACAAGCCTCGCGGCCGCGCAACCCGTTCGCGTACCACGGCCGATGCATCCGTCCGAGCCGGGAAAGAACGTCCCACGTCCGGCCGAGAATTTCATCGGCCAAATCTCATCCGCTCCGACCACGCCGGCCGACCGCGAATCCGTCCGACCCGACCGTTCCGACTCGGCCCACGACCCGACTGTCCGGCCGATCGTCCCGACCGACCGTCCCAACGCCGCGGTCGACCCGAAGCCCTTTTGAAGCCCAATTATTTTTCAAGCCCGGCTTAACCCTAAGCCGCCTCTAGAAAGACCTAGCACTATATATATGGATTTTTAGCCTCTTGTGAAAGAGAGCCGCCCTTGTATTTCGATTTCCTACTCTAAGTTTTATTGCAATCATGTTTTCTTCATCTCTATGTGTGTTTGCTTTGATCATGTCTGAGTAATCCACTAGTTAGGTTGCTAGGGTTACTATTCAATGAGTTGCTTGCATGATCTTTGATTTCAATGATTAGCTAGGGATTATATTAGAGTCTTTGTCTCGTCTTGTGCACTTAACTAATGCTGATTGCTTTACCGCGCATCTAGTAATCCGATCTTAGGTTGATTTGAGCCTCGACAGTGCTGTATCATTCGCCGGACATATTCTTTGACAAGCTAGGTTTCTTAGACTGCGAAAGTTGATCTACTATATCTAGTGAACTGTATCAGAACCTATTCATTCTAATGCTTGATTTAATCACCTAGGGACATACCAAAAGTTTAGCGACTAGGTAGATTAGCAAAGGAGCCGGAGCCTCGAAAGTGGAATGGTTTTATATTCGTGATCTGTGTTCTAGATGGTTCTTAATATCCCAATATCCCTAATCAATTAATCTATCATTGTTTCATTGATCATTGCTTGCTTCTCTGCGATAGCCCCTATGACCTAGCGCTTTTCCTTTATTGTTTACAACCTCGTTATACTTGCTAGTTCGGTTCACCATTACAACCTCAATCATACTTTTGTTTTAGCTTGATCCAAAATCCATAGTTTCAAAGTGTACTCAATAGCCAGTCCTTGTGTTCGATACCCATACTTCCGCGATCTGTGCACTTGCAGAGGTCTAGGAGTTTGGTAAAACCTGACTCCGCATCAAGTTTTTGGCGCCGTTGCCGGGGACTGCAGCAGTACCTTTGGAACTCGACTAGGATCTAGTCTAGAACCTTTTCCTGTTTTGCTTTTCTTTTGCTTTTGAATTTTAGTTTTTGATTTCCTTTTCTTTGATTTTTGCTTTTGTTTTTGTTTTTCCCTTTTGATTTAACTTGTTTCCAAGACTCTTTTCAGGTGCATGACTAGGAGGTCCAACAAGGACAACCTAGTTGAACATCCAGAGATAGACAAGCTTGAGAAGCAACTTAGGAAGCAAAAGCCCAAGAGATGGCCGACGAAGCAGCTCGCGCTCACGCCGCTGAAGTGGCGCGCGCTCAAGAAGAAGGAAGAGATCCACCTCCTCCTCCTCCTAATCCACAAGACCCTGCTGGAGATGTGAATGTGCAACCTCAAGCTGGAGCACCTACAATCGGAGACTATGACTCTGCCGATGCTTTCTTCATGGATAGAAACCCTATCCATCCACCACTTCCTGCAAGGAATGACTATGAGATCAAGCCTCAGATCATAGCATTGGTTAGACAGAACCAATTCAATGGACTTCCAGCTGAGCATCCTCTTGATCACATAGAAAACTTTGAAGAAATTTGCAGCACTACAAGATCCAATGGAGTCTCTGCTGACTACCTTAAGTGCAAGCTCTTTTCATTCTCTCTTGGCGACAAAGCTTCAAGATGGTTGAAGTCTCTGCCAGCTCACTCCATTACCACTTGGGATGAGTACAAGGCTGCTTTCATCAACCACTTCTACACCAAGCAAAGATCAATTTCTGTAGGAACAAGATCTCCAACTTTCGCCAAGCCAACAATGAATCTTTCTATGAGGCGCTAGATCGATTCAAGGAGTACATTAGGGACTGCCCTAATCATGGTTTCAATGAGGGAAACCTATGGAACATCTTCTATCGTGGCATAGACCACAAGTACAAGCTTTCATTGGACACTGCAAGCAATGGAAACTTCATGACCAAGACTGTTGATGAAGCTAAGGTTCTTATTGAGAATCTTGCAGCTAGTGATTGTAACAACTGTCCTGATTATGACCGCTCAAGCCGCACCACTACTAGCTCCCCTGATTCTTTTCAAATGACTGAACTCAAGAACATGATGGCTCAAGTTCTTAAGGGACAGCTCAAGCATATCAATGCAATAGAAGGGATGAGTGATGCTAATGAAGACCATCAAGAGAATGCATGGGAGATTTCTCTAATGAAGCCAATGAAGAAGATGTGAACTACATTGGAAACTATGGGAACAAGGGATACAATCCAAGCTATCGCCCAAACCCCAACATGTCTTATAGAAACCCCAATGTGGAGAATCCTCAAGACCAAGTGTATCCTCCAAGGTATCCACAACAACAAAGACCTCCTTACCAATCTCAAGGAAGTCAATTTCAGCCAAGGCAAGGATATGAGCAGAGATCATCATATCCGCCCAAGGAGCCATATGCTTCTTCACCAAATCAAGCTCCTCCAAACCAACAAGGTGGGAGATTTGAAGGAATCCTCCAACAGATCATGGATGGCCAGAAGAGAAACACTAAAGAGATGTATGAGAAGATGGACACTTTGTTCAGCAATCTCAACACCAAGTATGATGCTGTTGCCACTCATGTGAAGAAACTAGAGACTCAAGTCACTCAAACTATGGAAGCTGTTAAGAGACAGGAAGCTGAATCCAAGAAGTCCTTTTGCAACTCAGCCGCCATAGAAGAAAGATTTGAAGACCAAGTTCCAGAATGGATGCTTTCAAAACCTACTGTTGATTGCATGATTTGGCCTGAAGAGAATTACCCAGAGAGAGAGTCCAATCGAGCTAGAAAGAGAAGACTCTTCCCAAAGATTATCCCCAAGACAGATAACTCAGGAAAGTTTGTGTGCCTTGTATCATCAAAGGTAACATTCTTGAGCAATCTA